ATCTTCTTCAATCGAACTTCGAAAATATGCTCAAAAAAATATATTTATGACACTTTTGACATTTTCTCCTTAATTTCGTTGAATGTACACAATATTAACATGCAATATCATCAACCTTCATGTCCTGACATGTTTGTTATTCGTTCAGCTAATAAATGACATCAAATATCAACTGAATTATTCATTACTCAATATAACGAATTTATCGTTATATATTACTATTTGTTTAATATTCAAAATGGCGAACTGCCTTGTATCTTACAACTTGTAATTACTTTATTGCTAGTTTAATAACTGTGGCAGTCTGAACTGATTCAACGATTTCAGCACAACACAACGATCATAAAACAGCTCAAAATACCCTCAGCCCTTTCTCAGCTAACTAACTCTGAGTCGTAGCACAGTTTGCAGAATAATCCTACTTATCTGAACATATGAAACAATAAGTAAATTAGTCTGAAACATTATTTCCTTTAAAAAATATATTGCCCACACATGGCACTTTTGCATTTTTAATTAGGATTGATGAGTCTATGTGTTGGCTTTGAGAGAGCTGAAAGAGCATAACCTGAAAGAGAAATAATTTCAGAATCAATTCGACTTTTTAGAAGCTTTGCATTTTGAAACTGTCAAGTGATCTGACAGTTTGTCAACCAAACACATATCTTCACTGATGCTGATGTCTCCTTTTATAGAAATATAAGAGTAAAATGGAACAAACCAGAAATGCTTATAAATACAAATTTTCAAGTATTGATCATAAATTCGAATTGCCACTCTTATATGAGTTTCACTTAGCTTTGAAATTGCTTGTGCTAATGGTGCTGAACAAATCTCTCTGTTAATCAGATATTCACATGAATCTTGACCTCAAACATCAATTAGTACTTCCGACACAGAGTACACATTGTTTTATATTTTGTAGCACAAAACAAACTTCCCAAGCCATTAACTACTACGTAATCAACATGTGAATAGACAGACAAATGAAAAGAAGGATGAGTACCATTTCCATTTATGTATTTATTCACTATGAAAAGATCTGTCCATACTTATCATTTTGCATTTGTCGGGTTGAGTCCTTCAGATTTGTAAAGAACAGACAATATCATCTGAAAGCATTTTACTAAAATAAACTCTCCACATACACAATCAAGAGAATACCTAATAGCAAAAGTTGATTTACTATCACTATTTTCCATCTATGTCTTTGAGTACTACTACAACATTATTATTATTATTATTATTATTACTGACATGATAACAAATTTTGTGTAAACTTTTTCAAGCCCTTGTAAGGTTTTGCCTCTAAAAACAATATCTGAGAACATGACGAGATAACACTAAGTCATTCTTTTAATTTAAGTAATTTAATCGTTGTATTTCTCAGTTGGCTTGATATAAATAGATATAGATAGATATAGATATAGATATAGACATATATCATAACTCCAAAACATATTAAAATGATAATTAAAATCTAAGATTAAAGTCTCAATGCATTCATACGAAGCTTGCAAGTCTTAGTTAAAAGACTGCACGCGTAAGCAAAAAGTATGAAAATAAAACATTTTATAACGTGCAGTCAATTAATTTACTCCAAGCAATCGCTAATTTCTGATAATTGAAAGTAAGATCGATAGCGATGATCAGTAATGAGTACTAAAAATAATGTTACATACTAAGAATAGAAATGAATAGTTTGTGTTCAATGCTTTCCCGCAAATATGGCAAATAAATACTGATCATTGCATCATTGATAGTTGAGTAATTCTGATACTACCTCTCCCCCGCCCTCTGGGAAGGATAATCCCACCCAGTACTTCGGTATATTGCCCATTTTCGATAATCAAACGCTAGCCACACCTCTTCCAGTTTGCCTTCAAATACTTTCTTTACATCGTTCGTTCGTTGATCGTTGCTGTCATTCACTAACAATCAACCAATTCATTCATTTACTCACTCACTACACTACTCTTACTTACTTATATTTATCTCCATTTTATCTAAAATAATGATATTAATAATAATCATTGTAATATCATATCAGCCAGTGATTTATTTTAACTCTTTTCCAAAAATAAGTTACAGAAACAACCAACCATTTCTATGTGATATTATCATAGTTATTCATATCTTCTGACTACTTTCAGCATTCTTTATGATTACTCTAATTCGTTCCAAATGTCTGCAAGTAATGCTTTCAATTTTCACGATTTTCTTCAACGAACTAGTCTATTCACAACACTCAAGACCAATTTGTCACTTCTTTACATAGGTGAAAAACTTTGCACATAGGTTATGCAAAATATTTTTTCAACCTGATGAACGGTGCAAAATTTGAAACTGAAAAAAATGACAACTGATTGATTGATTGCATGACAATAAAGCGACAAAAATATTGCTTTCTAATTCGTAATGACCAAAATTTTAAACAAAACCATTCAGCCCCATACTCCTAATAATAGTAATAATTACCATAATAATTCCTCATTAATGCGAAGATTTCTTTAAATTGAAAGGATAGTTTTGTTTACAGAATTGATTAGACCAAGCCTTTTCCCACCTGTGATGGTTGCAAAACAGCTTGAGGTTTTAATAATCGCTTTATTTATTCAATACATTTAGCTGGCAAAACTCGCCTACTTAAATACGAAATCATATACAACAAAACTTTATTATATGCTCACATTTGAGCATATAATATCTCTTTTTGACTTCAATTATCAATTCATTTTATTTACTACTGCTGACTTTGAATATCTTTACACAGCGTTGTTTCAGATCAGAAAATACTTTAGAACCAGCTTCCACTAAAATAACTCAATCTTTCTTACCCATACACAAAATGCGTCAAATTTACAACTTGGTATTTAATTTTTAATTACTAGCATGCAGTTTGTGGTAAAAGCATTTTGTGGTAAAAATGCATTGAAGTGTCTAAAAATACCCATAAATCAACAGTCATTCAATCATTCATTCATGATTTTCCTATTCCGATAGCATTTTGCAACGTATTTGCAAACATTCACAATCACAATAATCACTCTACTACTGTCATTATATAATAATAACAAAATGGTATTTGAAACTGGTATGCTGAAATAAATTAGTAGTAAATTTCAATAATCAACCTGACTAATTTATCTGTTACTAAATTGCAAGTAATTCTGTTTGCAACACTATTGCTGCTCGTGTTTCCATTATTATTTTTATTATTATAACTGCGAAACTTATGAATAATTGAGTAATTATATAATTATTATTCCACTTATTTGATTGTCCATTTCATGCTTTGTCATGCAAATAAAATCTTTCTTGAAAATTGTCTTTTTTTTCTTTTCTAAACTCATTGCAACACATATTTGATAAACTATTAAAAACAGTCTTTAAATATTCAAAAATTATTCCCTTCAGGCATTTCGCACCACAAACTGAGGCCTAAAACAACGATCACTCGCAACTGATAAACGCTCTTTCCAGCTGTTCACTACCATCGCCTCATCTCCTTACACATCAATTTATTATTAGTTGTAATATTTTCTTCAATTGTATTCTTTCGTAAATAATAGCCAAACGTCATTTGCGCATTGAATTCAACTTCATAATTCTGCAGAATATTCTAGTGCTTATCTCTAAGGTCAAAATTACGTGTGAAAATTTTTATTTTTTTATGATAAATTGTATTTCCTTGCAACCGATTTTTACATTTTATTTTTAAAGTTTTTTTTTTGAAAGCATCTCGTTGTATGAAATTTGAATCTATACATATTGAGGAGAATGATTTGAAGTTAGACAGCAACTGATCGTTTATATCGTTCATTATAAGGTACAAACTAATGAAAAGAGAGCTGCTTAACTTTTTCACTTCACGACTATTTATGTACTATTCAAGGCATCTATGCTGTTCTTACTTCTAAAACACCACAAACTTGGCTGTATACTGAGCATTCATAACGTCATCATTACTGATTCCAATCTTTTGCAGTAGCCGAAATCATGTTTTGAGTACTTTTTAGGTGTGGTACTTAGCATTTTCGTCAATTCTAAAATTACATCAGACTGTTTCTCAGCATGCATGTACAGTACTAAATACAGAGCGTAATTTTTTTGTCAATCAAAAAAACATTGAACAAAAATCTCCTCAAAATAGCTATGCTGCTAGGACGGTGGAAGTTGTAATAATCAACTGATAAGATAACTTTGATAAGTTTTAAATGAAAAAGTTCATTTTCGTTAAATATTAATTTTTATAGACAAATATGTTAACATTTCATGCAGCTAAATACATGGTTGACACTTTTCAGATTAACTTTGCAAAATCCTTAATTAAGAAAAGGTATCATAGAAATGTGAACGAGAAGAGCCAGACAATATTTCTAAATTAATAATACATACTTGAAGTTTAATTAATTCTATTCCTTTTATCTTTGTTGAATTTGCTAATAAATTTTCATCATATTTCATTGCTATTTTAGTGGCTAAAAGAATCAGGAAGAAGATGGATAGTTGTAGTGGTAGTTGATTAATATTAGATGAATGTTGAATTAGGGCAATTGAAAATCATTCATCATGATGTCTTTTCGAAAATAGCGACCGAACCGAAATTTTCTGTACTTTTCTATCCTTTACTTCATTTATTCATACTTACCTGCATTATTATAGATGGAACCACGCTTGCTCATCTGATTCTCGATAATATTTCATTTTTCAGTTTTACTTAAATGAATCTCTTTGATAATATAGTACAAGATTCTACATTTAAAATCGTACAATTTTTAACTTTACTACATAAATTATACACGTTGAAATACTTTGCTGACATTAAGTTTGGTATTAGGTGGTTATTTTGTACAGAAGAAAATAATCATTTAGCTTTGCAGAAACTGTCATGTTGAAATAAAATCACCGGTCAAACAAGCGACATCTTTGCTTTGCACATTTTTTTATCATCAACACTACTACTACTACTACTACCACTACTTTATTAATCAGTTAATATGAATATAGCACAGTTCCGAATATTGCCTGCTGTGTTCTATAGCATTGTACTATTTATTTCTGTTGCTGCTAATTTTAGGATTACCGAAATCCAATGTCCGAAAAGGTATGTTACAAAATTTAAGTGCTTTACTGGTGATTATGCAATAATTCGGACAGGTTTGATAGTATGAATCTTGATTTAGTTTCATAAATAAATTTTTGTTTTATTCTCCGATAAAAAAACTTCATTAAAGTTGTCAGGCGTAATATAATTCGATTTTATATGCAATATTAATAAGTTGGCTTAGCTTAAAATTAAAGCCTGAAATTAATGCTTCAGGTGTACTTGCATACCAGATATAGCTGAACAAGATCGTCTAGTTGTAACCTGTAAGTGGTTAACAACACCAAATGATAATCTTTGGGATCAACAATTATTCTCGCAACTTACTCAAAATATTACAAAAAGTTTAAGCATCGAGTGCGATAATTCTCAAAGTGAGCAACAACAACACTCAAACACAGTCACTTTTCATGAAAATTTACTGAGCAAATTTCAAAATTTGCTAAATTTACGCTTACAGGTATGAAACCAATTTTTTTTAAGACTCAACTTTGAAAATAAAATAGCCGTACAATTCATAGACTACTTTCTTCATCAGAATGGAATTTAAATTCAGACTGGAAACAGATTGAAGCCAGCTTTAATTCGATTACTTTGTCTGACTAAATGTGAGCAAAAGAATTTAATTGAAAAATTTATATTTACTTTGACTATTAAAGTCACGAATTTATTATAAGAATCACTTTAGATTTGCAAACTGTTTTTCCAAAGGACAAATGTTCCGTTCAGAGTGAATTCTCCAATATAACTAAGCTTTTCTTTGTCCTAAAGGTGGCGAATCCCATCTACTCCTGCATTTACATAAATGCATTCAGATTGCTCTTATCCACTTTGCCTTAATTCACTTTTTTATACGACCCAATAACTATCCTATCATTATACATTACCTATATTATTATTACTATATTAATTGCACTTACGATTCATTAATAAAAACGTGCTATACAAGTAATTCCATCGACCTCTTATGTCTTTAATAAATTTAAAATAATGAAAGCGGTATTTCAGGGTAATTTGTAGTAAGGCAAGTAGCAGTGAATAAGTGCATATTCCATTGCTCGTTAATATGAATTTCATTTGCAAATTAAGCATTGATAAATGCAATAATGGCAGAGCTCTAGTCGTTTAATTCCCATTTGAACAATATGTCTAATTTTCATATTGCAACCAAAGATCAGTGATGATAATAATTGATGGGTTAGTAAGGGCCTTAGTGTTAGTGTCACTTAGCGCACACTTACACGGATGCAGTTGCACATTTTAAAATTATTCAGAAACTTTTTCACCTTTTCTACATACATTAGTTTCATCTTATAATGGATACTACGTAAAGTAAGCAAGTTAAGCATCAGAGAGCCATATAAAAGTAATAAGTGCAAAAATATCTAAAAGTCAAAGTTGAAAAATATATCAAACTTTGATGAATATTAAGCAAAACAAGTAATTCTTTTGCATATTTTGACGAAATAAATGCAAACTTCAGAAATGCCATCTCCATACTTTGCCAAGTATTCTCTTGCATGGCATGACAAATTTACGTTCCGTATACTTCAATCAACTCAATGTAGCTAATGAAACGCTGGTAATACCATCTGAATTCTTTCGCTACAACAAACGTCTCGAAAAACTCACCATCACTGATTGCAACTTGCAAACTCTGCCTGATTCATTATTCTGTGATAATCCTTACATTCAGGTAATATCATCTAATTTTCCTCTCTATGCACAGTACTTAACATACAGCTTATTTACAACTTATTTTTGAGACACTCCTTGATTGCTTATCATTTTCAAATATTAGAGCATTTGAAGTTTGACAGTCACTCAAGAATCACACAAAAATTAAGATATTTGTTTCATTGCAGGTGATTAACATCTCACGAAATTCCTTGCGAAATCTCAATTTTGATGGATCTTCCACACCAAAATGTAACAACAATGCAGAACAACTTATAATTTTTGATTCAAGCTATAATAAAATCCAATTTATTGCTGACAATGATTTATCAAGATTTGTTGCGATTCGGCAGTTGCTATTAGCACATAATCAAATTGATAATATCAATCGCAATGTTTTAAAAACTTGCACATTACTGCAACAACTACATATCAATAATAATTACATCAAGGAATTACCTATTATGCCAGGTAAAAGATGTAAATCTGTATAAATAATAGAATCTATAATCAGTAATATCAATAATTTTAACTTTGGACAGCGCTACCGACAGGTTATTGTAATAATTGATGATAGTACTAATCAAAAGATTTGGACAAAGAATTCAAGTATTAAATTAATGAGTAATAATTAATGAATAAGAAACTACCTAAAAGTATTACAAGTGTAAAAATGCTGTAGTAAGAGTAAGAAAGTGATTAATAAACAAATCTCATTACACCAATTTTAAGTCAGTACAAGAAGATGAAAGCTAACATCGGATTTTATAAAGCTCATTCAGCTAACAAGTAGTAGCTTACACTCAATGATTTTCAGAGACACTTATCCATCTCGATGTTGCATACAATCGTCTAAGTATTATTCCAGCAACAATAGCTAATTTACCAAATTTATTATTTCTGAATATAAGTGGCAATGCTATTGATGCCAATACTCCTTTTTCTATGCAAGCTTCTACGCTGGAAAGTATTGATCTTAGTCGGAATCGCTTTGAAGTTATTCCGGAAAATTTATTCGCTAACAGTTGCGCAAGACTTCAACACTTATTTATGAGCAATAATCGCATCACACAATTGGAACCACGAATTTTTCAAAATTATACAAATTTAATAACAGTAAGTTTTTCTTGGAGTTTTTAGTAAGAGGTACTGCATTATTTGACTAACACCTGCAAGGAACTTGCTCATTTAGTAGTAAATAAATAAGATGAATATTTGAATAAGCCTTTTAAATTTATTCAGTCGAGTCTTACTAGGCCAATTTTCTAATCAAATCTAAGCATTTTCATCTACATAAATGAATCTATCTTGAATAATGATGCAAAATTTAAAAAAAAAAAAACTTTTTCAATTTTTCCTTCATTTACTATAAACTTTAAATAGTTTTTTTGATTCAAAACTTCAATTATTATAATAATAATACGTCTTGTGATCAATCTAATCACTTTCTTCAAGTGTATTATGCTAAACACATTGTTCAGTTAAATAAAACGAAATAACTATAAATGCAATTATCTTGATTATTTTATCTGGAAGGCGCAAATGTAAACATTGATGTGATAGTTCTACTTCAATCATTTCTTACACTTTCAACAAAATACTTATCTTGAAGTTTTTATCAGTTTTTATTAACACTTCAAAGTTTACTTATACACTTCTCACATACTCATTTATGCAGTTTTTGCAGTATCCTCTAAATAAGGCAATTTGGAGCCGTTGTCTATTATGTTTCCTTCTCCTTACCTGCACATGCTGATAGAACCGGTTTTGCTTTAGGCCTATCTGAATGTCAAATATAAGAAAAATCTAGTATAAATGTGTGTGAACTACTCTTGAAATATTCATTTCTACTTAGCACTAAGCTAAAATATTAAATTCAAATTTCGGTCTTTTGAATGTGTCAACAATTTAAGATGCTATAAAAACACTATGAGTCACTAAAGTAATACTTTCAAGTGCATTATTATTCGAAAATATTACAAAAGACTGACTGATTTTGTGCTGCGTTGAAATTGAATCATTGGTCACTTTTGAGATGGTAAGTGAACTGGTCAATAACAAAATAATATGAACAACATAAATTAGTCATTTTTTCACTCAGTTATTCTTAGTTCTTAACAAGCAAAAAGCGCTTGCAAATATGAGCGGTATTGATTAGATTAACTCACGAAAGTAATAATAATAATAAGCATAATGGCTCATCACAAGCAAATGAAGATAATATTTCATTTTTAATTACAATTAATGTAAAATTTGAGACAACATGGGGATTACGAGGATCAGTTTATTGTTTCGCGAAGCTGAGTACACTACTTAAAAGCGGCTTACCTCGTAGGTAGTGCGATGAAAAGCTAATACTTAATCATGAGATATTACTCTAATAACGAATTCATATGAAAGCATTATATTAGAGTAAGTTTCATGTAAATGTGGTATGTATAATCATAACACTTCTGAGGTTTTAATTATAATTTTGTCCCAATTACTTGGAGATTATTAATTTTAATGCTCATGTACGTAGCAGTTCAATGATGTTTCTTCATTAATACTCGTACTTATGACGCTTGTTTACATCAGATTTTCTATCCCATTTATGCATCACTCAGTATTGTGATAAAATTTGGCATTACATTATGACTAGGGCTAGTTATTTGAATAATATAACTATTATGAATAAATTAGCAGGTAAATTAATACTCTTTTTTTTCTTCTACTTTCAATTTTTGATTTTCAAGAACAAAACTGGAATGTTTTTTTCTTAACCTAAACTTGGCATTTCTAACGGGCAATGATGATGATAACAGCAGTCGTGGACATAATTTTTAAAGTAAATTTGGTACTATCAATAATAAAAATTTTTAGACATTTTAAAAAGCTATTTCTATGTTTCGAACTCAAATTTAAATAACTTGAAAGTTAATCAGTGCATCTCATCTTTCTCTGATTCTGCGATAAAAAGATGTACAAGTGAGATACATTACGTGCAAAAAAACGTGAAAATAAAATCTTAAATGAATTAAGTTGTACAGAATATTAAAACGTGTCAAAAAATTAGCCTGGCATACTGATATATGAAAATAAATGACAGTTTAAAGAAAAGAAAACATCTTTAAATGAATTTTAAGTTTTCTCCATAATTATAATCAGCAAATTATGATAACTATTTTGCATAGTAATTAATAGAAGAATGTGTGAGTACAGGTTTTAAACTTTTTGAAGGTCATATTCTCCTGTCACATTTTTGGATGAAATTCTGAGTGATAGCAAAATGTGAATGAGCTAATCAAATATCAATCTAATTTATTCTCTATTTGCTTTTTCATTACCATTCTCTATCAATATGATATCAATGTCGTATTGTATTAACATAGATGTGAAAAATAATGACTATCTATCTGCACAGGATTATGATTATTTCATGTTAACACTCATAAACAAAGAAAAACTATTTTTCATATTCATCAAATTCCAGGCAGCCAACTCAATATTATTATTAGAAAAAGTTAAAAATAATATTTTTGATAAAATTTAAAAGTTTACGACACTTTTACAATTTCTGCAAATTCTAAAAAATGATTTGATAGAAAGAGGAGGAAAGAATTAAAGACAATTTGGTTCTTCTAATTACTAGAAGAAATAGAAGTAACCTTGAAACACTACTCTTTTCTGAATTAAACGAAAAATAAAACCAAAAACTAGCAAAGAAAATGAGATAAATTTTTATCAAAAATTTTATGAGCCAACAAAAAGCTCTCTCGATTGTCGCACAGATAATAATCAGAAAATTAACAACAACGAAAACCATTACTTAAAATAATTTTTCTTAAATAAACTAACAAAGAAATCAGCGCTATAAACTATTAATCAAGGTAGATTGTAAGTAAAATAAAGAATTAAGCAACAGTAATAACTTAGCTAAAGTAATTCACAGTAAAAAAAACAACAAAATAATTATTTTTATTTCATTTCCTTTATAAATTTCAAAGTATTTCAATCTTAAATTCTATACAAGTTTAGTGATTTCCATTCAGAGAAATAATTTAGCACAAATCAAGCTATGATTTAAAAGTAATGCTGGCTACATATTTTGCATTAATCATACATAAATTAATTATACTGAAAATGCTAAAGTTACCAAAGCATAACAAAGCGAATTTAGTAAAAAAATTTTTCCAGCTGGATTTTGGCTCTAACAGAATAGCAGAAGTGGAAGAGGAAAGCTTACTTGGTTTGTCAAATTTAACTTATCTTTACTTATCAAACAACTCTATTTATCAAGTGGAAACGAACTCATTTCAATACACACGCCAACTCCAACAACTAAATCTCGCGAGAAATTTACTGGTAGAAGTGCCACTAGAAGTAGGGCATTTATTCAAACTGCGTCAACTCGACCTATCTTATAATCAGATCAGGTATTTTTCCTTCACCATTCTATATCTTATTGATAGTTATTTAAAAAAATTACTTCATAAAATGTACTTTAAAAACTTCGATTCTGTAATTCTGTAATAAAAACTGTAATATTCTGTAAAAAATTACTTCGGTTCGACGACTACTGTACTATTGCATCATATTGAGCGTACTCTCAAAGTACCCCCAATATGATGCAAAAGTCGAAGAACAAGATGATAAACAAAACAAGCGCAAAATGTCTGCTGATCAACAGTACTGTGAATATAATGAGAGATATTTCAAAAACAAGCATTCCATTATTTGCGCTTATAATTTCCAAAATCACTCGAAAATGAACAGTAATGACTGCTTTTATTTTCAAAAGAAAGAGATGGCTTAAAAAAGATATAATTGTTTTTTTGACAGTTTGAATACCTATTAAAATGTACATTTTTGCAATTTATGTTTCGAGAGAGAAGGAAATATTTGAATCTTTCTGAATAAAATGTTTTATGTATGTAAAAAGTTCACTCATCCAGTAGTCACTCATGCCAGGTCGAGTAGAAAATAAGTCAGCCTATTTTTGACATATCGAGTTTTCACTTCCAAGCATTATTATGTTACCTAATATGTTTGGAAAGTGATCAAAAACAAAGCAATCATTACGTCCTTCCATAACTGACCATATTATTATAACAATATGCTAGTCAAGAATTTTTTAGTCAACTTTCACCTCATCGAAAAATTAAGTAAAACAATGTATTGCAGAAAGAAACTAATTGAAGACTCATTTGCTGCTATCAAAATCAATCTTTCACATTAAGTCTGCTAATTTTGTTCTCCAATTTCGTATTTTCATTGTTTCATACATATTTATTTGCAGCAAAGCTTACAAATTTCTTTTCAACAAACTGCCATATTTGCATTCACTGAATCTTCACAAAAACAAACTCCCATCGGTAATATTCTTTTTTTTGCTAAGTATTATTTTAACTTTAAAGTCTAAAAGTAAAGAAACAAACTCTTGTTTTTATAAATTTATGATAAATTTATAAACTTAAGATATTTTGAAGAATAATGCATAAAAATTTCTTTAAAAAAATAATATGGCTTGCAAAATCATTCCAGTTTTTTCTACCTTTTAAGCTTTTCTTTCTTCGTTACTTTAAAATGCTTACCACACCAAAGCTTTTGAATCAAACTCTCTCATTTCTTCCCTCTTCTCATACACAAAAATAAAACCAAATACAAAAGAAAATCACTTATCCATTTGTCTGTCAGTTTAATCCTTAGCAGTTATTATTTTTTCGTTTCTATTCAGACTAACAAATGAACTTTAATGCATTTTCTTGGCACGTACATAATTCTTTTTCTTTTGTTGAAAATAGCAAAAAAATCTTTCTTTCATTCATGAAAAATATCGTTTAACGCTGAAAATTGATAAAATAAGCAAATATCTATTCGAAGGGAAAATCAAAAGAGCTGAGGATAAAATCAAGTATAGTCTATGAATGAAAATCTTGATCTAAATAAGGCTAGTCATGTTCGATATGCGAAATATTATTTTTAAGACTAAAACAAGAGTAATAGTAAACATCTTTAAATACTTATTAAATAAATAAAGTATAAAGCTTTTCTTACAATTCTGAATAACAGGAAACAGAATAAAGCCAGAATTTGTGAAAGAAAATACTTCTTACAGATCGAACTGTACATATTTTCGGATATACCACGTCTTATTGAACTTAATTTGTCTTTTAATATCATTGATAATATCGCAGAAGCAGCGTTTACAAAATGTCCCAAATTACGGCAAATTGATTTATCAAATAACTATCTGACAAATTTCAACGGAGCACTTCGTGGCTTACAAAGTCTGAAACGTCTTAATGCAAGTTACAATATTATTCAACTGATTGAGTGGGATGAATTTCCAGCAACTATGATCCATCTTGATATGGGTTTTAATGAAATTGCTAAAATTAACAAAGCAGACATGTCCAGAGTACGCCATGTACAGGTAGGCATCATTTGCTAGATAGCCATAATAATACTTGATATAACAAAGCAGTCTGTGTCTAAGTCTATCTTTACGAGAAATTTTTTCAAACAGTCATGATCGAAAATCGTTGGTATTTACTGGATTATTAAATGCAAGTACAGAATTACAAATCATAACTAAAGTGTTCTGAATTTCAGCTACAACATAATCGCATTATGTCTCTAAGTGGTGAACAGATTCCAAATACATTGGAAACGATTGATCTGCGTGATAATATAATTCATAATATTGAGAATGGTACCTTCCGTAATAAATCTTCTTTGATTAGCATCAATTTGCGCAACAACGCACTGTCTATCTTACAGAAAGAAGCTTTTGAAGTTGACAATTTGAGCAGCACTCATTCGGTGCGATTAAAAGTATCTGATAATCCACTCATTTGTAGCTGCGAAATGGATTGGATTCTCACTAATGAACAAGTAAGTAATTCATTCTTGGGTTTCTGTTCCTTAATTATCACTTAACTTTAATCTTATAGACTGCCTTTTTTCTTTGAATTTCCACTTTTCACCAATCATATTCAGTTTAGTCTAATTACTACACTATCGCCAATATTGGAAAATAACTCTATACTTTGTAGGAAAAATCTCAGATTGATATTTCTGATGATAATCAAGCCAAATGTTCCCATCGATTTGACAAGCGAAAAATTCAGCTTTCAGAACTTACCAAAGATGACTTACTCTGCAGCTATAAGCAGGTAAGATATGTTTACTTTCAAATTATTATTCTCTTCAAACTAATTGCTCGCAATTTTTCTTGCTCAGAAATATCTAAATATTTATTCTATTTCAACTCGCAGATGGAACTTGTTTCAGATTTGTGAACCTAATTGTATATGTTGTCAATATGGCAACTGTGACTGCAAATCGAAATGTCCCCAAGGCTGTAATTGCTATCATGATGCTACGTTTATAAAAAATATCGTACGATGCTCCGCATTAAGTATTGAAGATCGAAAAAAATTCACCACTAAAGTGAGCACCCTGAGTGAATATAAAATTTATTAAATGAAACTTAATCACATACAACTTTATAAAGAGACTTCTATAGTCAATAAAATGGACATTAATCAACAGGATTATGAGATCACTTTTAGCAAAGTAATAAATCTTCAATTTTCTTGAGCACTTAATATTTTACTGGATAAATTATTTTCAGGATCTGCCAATGTACGCTACACATATATACCTGGAAAATATGGAAATACCTGTTATTCAGAGCCATGATTTTCTGGGTCGTACACGTCTTCTACACTTACATATTAATCATTCCTCTATACGAGAAATACAACCACTGGCTTTCAATACATTACCTTCCTTACAGGTTTACAAAACAACAACGGACAGTTTCACATTTATGTAAATGCGCAAATTAAAAGCTTTTTAGCCAATTATTTTGAAAATTTTTAATTTTTCAGAAAATAAATGATTAATTATGTTTGATACCAACTATATATGTATATCTTTCAGTTACTAGATTTATCAGGAAATCATCTGATCCGATTGACAGGTGATGAACTGTTTCGTACAAATAAGATCACTACATTTTTTCTTCACAATAATATGTTAATGTCATTGGGTAATCGACTCAACGAAATAATGCCTATTCTCAATACCATCACTCTACACAATAATAAGTTAGAGGTAAGTCAGTATATTTTCTGTCACATTCTAACAAGTATAAGTTTACCTTGTGATATTCTTGATTAAATAAAACAAAAATATGACAAGGATCATATTACTTAAATTCAGGACTTGCCACAATCGATTGAGCAATATGGAAAACAACTTAAAGACATATCATTAGGTCACAATTTATTTCGGTGCGATTGCTCGTTCCGCTTTCATACACAATTTTGGTTGCCACGCAATTTAGATATAATACGTGATGTGTCGGATGTTTTATGCGTAGAAAATGTTACTCATGCTATTCGTGAAAATGATACAACAATTCTTAGTCCTTATCCTCCTAATTTTGGAGAAGATATATTTCGTATACCAATGGCACAATTCATTGCTACCGCTAATACGTTTGTCTTACATATTAGTGATAAGAATTCCGAATTTTCCATTATCTCTCATTATTATAACGTAATTATTCTGAAGCAGTGTAATTATGCACAAAATATTACCATTTCTTATTTGCAGAGTAAAATATTTGCTTTCAGTGCTTCATTAACTATTGAAAGAAAAACGGTTTCAGAAACTAACAAATTTTTAAGATGGATCAAAAATCATGCGAGCCAATTAATAACTAATCTAAATTAAACTTCTTTTCATTCCCTCATTATTACTATTGTCACTAATTTTGATCCTAGTAAGATTTTATTTTACAGCACTATTTGCGCACCCACTGCAAGTGGTGTCTTCGGTACGAAAGGAACGACAAATTCATTTCTCGTCATAGCAGTTCTATTTGGAACAGCAATAATCTCCACTGGTTTAATATTGCTGGCAATATTAACGCTACGAAAAACTAAAGCAGTAACGGTGCAACGAAGATATAAGGTACCACCATCATTCACTGGCACGCGAACGACACCTGGATCTAGTCCTTTGCCACTCATTCATTTTGATGCTTTCATTAGCTATTCAAAGAAGGACGAGAAATTTATCATCGATACTTTATGCAGGTAATTAATCATACTATTGCTCAAATAAAATTATTTTTTTGCATAAATATTTTTATGCAATAAAATATGGCAATATTTACAAAGAAAAATTTTTTTTACTTTAGGCAACTCGAATATGAGGAATACATCTTATGTCTGCTACATAGAGATGGACCAAATTATAGTTCCCGACTTCATACTATATCTGATGAACTTATCAACCAAATGGAATGTGCGCAATCACTCATACTAGTGTTAACACTACATTTCTTAGACAATGAATGGAAAACACTACAGGTATCGTAATTTGTGATTCCCGCCAATGTTACCAATAACAGTATCTAAATGAACGTAGGTACATTACAGCGTTTATTTCATTTTAAATAATGTATAATCATTGATAATTTTTTAAATGTTATAAAGCAATAAAATCCTGCAATTAATACTCACTTGCTAGCTGAACTACTCACTCACACGCAGAGCCTTTTTTCCCATAAAACTGCTTAATTAATCAGCGCAAATGTTAAGTCTAAGCTTAATTAAGTCAATCCTCAAAATTTCCTTGAACTTGTTTGCATCATTATTTTGAATGACTGAATTTTTAGATCAAGACTTCGCACCAAATTTTTGCTAAAAATCGTCATAAAAAGTTAATAGCAGTTCTCGGTGATGGTATTGAACCGAACCAACTGGATGCTGAACTGGGTCAAATTTTACGAAAAAACACATGCATCCGAATGAATGATCCGTTATTCTGGAACTTACTGCATTCTGCTCTGCCAATAAAGATCGCTCCATCTTCTTGCAGTGCTGGCTCATCACAGATTTACTCAGACTGCTATGGTAGTATTGTGCCTAGTGATATTGTTTAGATTATCATTTCTCATTACTTGTTATTAATCAAGCATCATGTACTCCGCTAGTTTCAATACAAATTTTTGTGATGCTGGGGATCCTATTCAAGTCAAATAGAATCAAAAATCAGCTCATGAAAAGAAAAATTTTGTAAAATAAATTGCAATCTTTAGATCGTTCCTACTTTTTACTCACAAACCCGCCCATAAAATAAAGAACATGATAAACCGAAAATATAGCTATAGTAAATTTATCTACTTTCTCTAAAAATAATGGAGCGGTTTTTTTGCTCACCAAATAGCTACAACTAAAACTTTTGAAATTTCCCAGTATCACTTAAATTAACCATACTGCTTTACTGATATCATTGCTCTTCAATTCACGGGTCTGTATTTTGTAGATATTATTTCTACTGCTGCTTGGAAAATTGTAATATTGTTATGAAAAATAAACTGGACAAATGCTTCGAAAATATTTCAGAGTAATCCGAAAAGCATTATACTACAAGAATTTATCCCTCACGAGAAGTCAAAGTAGGTTTATGTAAACATCTTGAAGGGAATTTTTTTAGAAAGAGTTTTTAATAAGTTTAAATTTATATACATTTTTGAAAAAGTTTGCAATGAAATTCGTTCTCTTGATGCTTCAATTTTCATCACAAACGGATCAGCTACGCTTAATTAATATAATGTATCAGTTAAAATTATCAACAAATAATGAAAGTAAAACAGTAGTAAATAAACTAAGACATCTGCAGGAAACTTTTCGGAAGGGTTCTAGATTTCTCAAAACGTTTTAAATTCATTGCTTCAGTTAGGTAAAAAAAGCTACTGGCATATTTAACAGCTAAATTTGTGACAATTTTTTATATGATTTAATTTCCATTTGGGCATGAAAAAGTTGCGTTGAAATCAGTAATAAGAATTTGAAACAAAATCTGGATAAAGAAAAGATATAGCATGTGATAGCTGAGATTAATATTAAGCATGTGATAACTGAGATGTGATAATTGATATTAATATTGAATAGTTGAAGCAAATTCCAGCAAATAAATGTTTCTGAAAGTAGAAGCCTATAAAATTTAATTTAAAAACTCAAGTCTGTAAACAAGAAGAAATCATTACCTGACTATATAAACTAATTATATATAAAATTATATTAATTATAATTGAGTTTCAATTTTGGTAAATAGATGAATTTAAAGCTCTGCGATAATGATAGTGAAATTTATCTTTTTAAATATATCACCATAAACATTTCAAGAATTTTTTAGTTTTAAAGTTTCCGTAACAATCTTCGGGCTTTTTCCTCTCACTCAAATATTTCATTGAGAATAATTATTGAAATATGCCTACTCAACATTCTGCTATCCCGCTGAAAAAAAAACAAAAATATCCTGAAAAATAACTAAATAAAGTGATTCCTACCATATACATTTGATCCCTTATATTCATAATTCTCATTGTGATTCCAGTATTTCATTGATATCTTCTCTAAAGGCGCACCAAGCAAATATTCCAAATTTGCCACATGAAAATTGAAAATTGCCTTATTTTCAGGGTTCATATGGAAATCACTGAAAATATAAACTGCGTTATAGAATAAAACTAAACAGTATTGAATATTTCAGTACTTTTAAATTATCATATTGAAACGAATTAAAAACTATTTTAGTATTTTAAATTTGCATGTAAAAAATGTCCTCATTACGAATTATAAACTTCAAAAATTTCCAAAATTCAAAGGTACAACTTTGAAAAAACAATCATGAAACAATAAAGAAAAACGGAATCTTTTACATTCAAATAATCCTTACATTTTTCAAGTATCATGACTACTGAAATTCTAAATCCTGTTTGTTTTAAGACAGAACCTATTTGTTTCAGACTGAATCGTCACAGTTCACTTTTTAAATTCCTTAATGAAAATGTCTCCTTATGAAGAGGCTATGTAGACACTTTTTACAGTTGATTTGATCTCTAATGCTAAGTTATAAATATTTTTTGCAAAATCTGTAATAGTAAGCATCCTGGACTGAAATTTTCCTATTTATTTTGTTTAATCTCAAAGTTAAGTTTGGAATTTTAAATTATTGCTTTTTTTTGTGTAATTAATTCTTCATTCCATCAAAACAAATACATTTCAACCCTATACTGAATAATAAATGTTTCTAATTATATTAGTGAGTTGTACTTGGTTTTCAGATAATTTTCTCTTCTGGAACAATATGGTAATTTAACCCGTCATTACAAATGTTATGACCCATTCCATTAATATTATTGATGAAACAGTAGACAACCTATGGAGATCACCATACAGAACATATAATACATGAGAAAAACGAACAAAAGATTATACGACAGGTCAAACATAAATGCTTCTCATTGATGCAATTTGACACTGTCATAATCGTAAACAAACAGATGGAACAAAAGATTGTAGACAAGCCAATTTATTACATGCAACTTAGAGATTACAGATTGCAGTTAGAAGCATTTTCGGGATTTTCCAGAAACTACCGAAACATACAAAACATTTGCCAATACTGCTGTTAAATTTTCACTAAAAACCATAACTCATAAATAGTTATGAAGGAAATTCAGAAATCTTCTTAGTTTCGCTACGATAATTATTCCCTATTAATATGTTCTTGATAACTGGTCAACCAAGCATAAGTGATTCTGCAGTATTTAAGAGTAAAGTTAAATATTTTCTATTTTTGGGCTAACCATAACGTTAAGGATATTGATTGATAATAAATATTTAGGACTTTATTCCTGAAGCAAAGAAATGTGTGAGAATGAAATGGATCCCTCATACTGAATATTAATAAGTACGATCCTGGAATAATTTTGAGGCAATGCAATAACCACGAAAAACAAAAAGTAACATAAAATACAAGTTACACCATAGCCCTTCGAATCAAATGTACAACATACCTTGGTTTGTCCCTCTTAAATTTTTCTATGGCTTGACGCAGCGTCTCCCTCCTCATTTGTAACGACTCGTAACTCTTTAATTACAATAAATTTTACTAATATAAGCAATATGCTTAGTTAAAAAGTCTATGCAAATTTCTGCATTCACGAAGAATTTCAAGTCAAGGAAAAATGCTTGCTGTAAATGATTTGCAGATCTAACTGAATAAACAAACGTAGCAAATCGTTTATGAAAATTCACGGTAAAAAATATAATTTGTTAACTCAAAACTTATATCCTAATACCAACTAGTGAGATAATTTAATTGCATGTTACTTTTCATGAAAAAATACTAGAAAGCAGTTTTGAATTCATACTAACATTTATGGCATCATCGATGTCTTTGCGGATACATTTTTCAGCGATATCTTTTTTGACTATTTTTTCTTCATTCCAATCCGTTCCACCAGTCATTTCTTTTGAATGTTTATAAGTTTGAGACATACACTGTATTTCGTTCTTAATGATAACCATCTTAAAAAAAGAGATCCTCGTCTAATTAAAATCATAAGTTTAACTTTTAGCAGTTTCCGTATTTGCTGCTTATAATCATGACTCCCTGAAGTAATAGTGATACTTGAAAAATGGATTATATCAACTTGAATATCAGTTATACTTAAGCAAAAATTTGAGTAATTTCAGCTTGCACCAGCTGATTTTTTCATTGTTTGTGAATGCAAAAGTATCTATATTTTTGCATTCACAATCTGAAAACCAAGTGTAATTTTTGCATTGTCACTAAGACATTTAGCAAAATTTAAAACAAATTAGGAATAAAACGCCTCACTGAGTCTTGAACAATCTGTAGTTTCTTGAGGATATTATGATACGACTGCAAAAAAGAAATACGCCTGGCTTGCAATATATATTCTTCCTCTCTAAAATGATAATATGAGTTGCAACATTCAAAATACATAACTTTAATCAGTAAATTCATCTAAGAAATTATGTTTCACAATTTAGAAGCAACATATGCAAATAGACTTGCTTGGTTGTCTGGCTATTTTCATACCAGGTGAGAAAAAAAATGACAAGTTAAGCTCTTAAAAACTAGTTTGTCATGATGATAATTGGAAATAAAAAGATAAAAAAACGCCCTTGAGAGCATTTGAATTTTCCTGAAAATATCAATCATATGGAGAAAAATTTAGATATATGCAACTAATTCATAATTATCGAAACTAACAGATAACCAAGGACCTTTACTTACTTTAACATAATATCAAAAGCATCCTTCAAACTCAACATTTGTCCTTTTGCTTCAAAAATATTTTTGGTATTCGATAAGTACGACGAAGCATATATGAAATTGTGAAATAAACGCTCAATTAATCTAGCGCAACTTAATTCTACCTGAAAACTTTATGAAATGTTAATTTTCAGCTTTAAGATACACCTTCAGATAATTTTGATAGTGTACTTTATACACTTCTCTTGGGAAACAATAAAATGTAAATAAAATTTTTGCATTCACACAAATTAACTTTGTATAGCATAAAAAATGTTTTAAGAGCTGAAGAACAAAAAAAATTTTACATACTGCAGTTCCTGAAGAATTATACAGTGCACAACTGTCAAGAAGTACAGGATTGCACTGTATTTCAAACTGCTTGATTACTGTCATCAAGGGATTTGAAACTGAAAATTTGTTAGTAGAGAAGTTGAAAAAGTCAAGTGTGGTTTTTGAAAGCAAAATAGTAATAATAACAACAGTTATAGTAATAGTTAATAATAATAATAATAATAACAATAATAACAATAATAATAGTCATAACAATAATAATAATAATAATTACTATTATAAATGATAACAGTAATAACAAAAATAATGCATTACTGAAATGAATTCAAGCTTTTTCAATCTCACTAAATTGAAAAATATTTTGACCTCTTAAATTAACTTCAGATTATTTAAACAATGTTTGTTAAAGCCGAAATCTCTGCATAATGTCTGTTTTGATCAAACAGCAATAACAATCAAACTTTAACGCAGTGTACAGATGTAAACTAAGTATTTCGATACATTTTCACTTAAATTAGACTACATTTTTCCAATGATTTTCAATTTTTATAACTCATCAAAAGCTGGCTATTTTGAGAGCTTGCGTTGCGAAAACATATAGTAGAAACAATAACAAAACTAAAGCTCAATTTCCAACAAGTACATACGTGCTCCATAAATTGAAGAAGCACCGAGTTCGGCAAAGATTTGCTCTTCATTACTGTGATTTGATGATATGGTGTTCAATGATTTCATAAATGTTGATACTCGACCTCCAATTCGAGGCTATGAAGAGAACTTCATTCATTTTAATATAGAATCAAGAATGCATGAAGATTAAAACTTTGAAATACTGTTGAGTAAATTTTGTTAATAATAAACTAGATGACTAAAATAAATTGATTACTTTAAGTTTTTTAAAATCAATATTTCCATTTTCTATTTTTTTTTAATTTTTCAAAAAATTTCTTCAGTTCAATCTAATTCAATATTTTTCTGCTTGGAATGCATCGCATAACTGATGATAAAACTGTCATTTACTTTTTAAGGAATGGTAAATAAATGTCACTTACTCTGGCCTCTAAAAGAAGCACATCCAAGCCCAAATTTTTTAGTTGCTGTGCTGCAGTAATTCCAGCAATGCCAGCGCCAATCACTATGACTCGACGTGAAGGATAATTCAGCGGTTCTCGAAAGAAAAATATTGCAGACAATAAAGTCAAACTTTAAAAATTTCAAGAAATACAAGCAGGAATAAAAATATATTAATATGGTTTTGGTTTCCAACTGATAACAGAAACATTAAAGTTCTCAGTTCGAAAACCAACTAAAAAGATTTCAAGGAAATATTTGTAAATTTTGATAAATCTTTGAAAAATATAGTTTTACTTGTTATGCGATTGAAGTGACCAATATTTATATATCCAAAACGAAGCAAAAATTTAAAAATGCGATGAATGAATGACTGATCTGCTGAAACATATAACTGATTTATTAGATAGATAAAAATAAATTTAATTCCAAAGTAATAACTATTTACGAAGCATAAAATACCTTTTAAGACAAAGAATTTTCATATGCAACAATTAAGACCAAGAACTTTATAAAATTTTATGTACAGAAAAATTATTATAAAACACCGTCATATGGTGAGCTCAATTCCTCTAGAACGTTCTTAAGGGTGACCTCTGTTTGCGGGTAGCAATGCCACATTTGCAACTGAAAATAATAATATCCTATGAAATCAAATCTAGTAAACTGGTGGATATCTAATTTTGATACATCACTCCGACATAACCATAAAAAAGAGTGAAACAATAAAATTAAGAAAATAAATGGATTACCATTTTGTTTCTAAGATAAAGAAATAAATCCTTAGTATGACAATCGCAAATCTCTGGAAAGGCAATCATTTCCAGTACTGACGGTTGATCATATGACAAAAACGATCTGGAGGCAGCAACACGAAGTGCTGGAAATAAAAAAATGCAAGATTATTAACAAATCGAAAATGTGAAGCATAATAAAATTAGGACAATGAACAAATTACTACTTTGCTACTTAGTACTGGTAAGACAATAGTCTCAAACTTCCTGATCACTTATATAAACAAATCTTGAGGATCTAAAGATTCCAAATTTATTACCATTTAAGCAACAAACATGAAAAATATATCCTACCATTTTAGAGTTTCATTAAACTCTGTCAACCAGAATTTCAGTTTGATTTTTGTAATTTTTTATTCTCTAACGATTAGAACGATACGAACTATCTCTAGAAAACAAAGAAATGCAAACAGTGTGCTGCTCAATGCTTACATATATCATCATCTTCCCACTGTGAAATATCAGTACAACAGCCAAAGATCCCCGTACTGCTTGGAATGTTAGTAGTTAGTAATCGCTCCATGTTATGCTCTAAAGAACTTATGTATATATAAACGATAAGTCACTAATTATCCATATTCACGCTTTTTTAAAATAATCATACCAATAATAATTTTCAAACTCAGCTTTCTCAACAAGTGAATTGACTAATCCCTACGTAGATTAGCGTAAGCTTCTACTTCTGAATTAAAATATCTCATTATTAACGAAAACCAATTCATTATAGATATCCCACCCATAATGATAAGCTCACGTAAATACTGAAGCTTTATTTTATGTCCCAATAAATTTACTAATAACATAAACATGAACTATTAATTCAAAGGGTCTGAAGCCCGACAGATGCAACACTTTACTGAAATAAATTTATGCTTCTATGGTAAGCGACTAAATTCTGATTGTTGGCACTGCCCTATCATCAAAAACATGCAACCAAAAATACCGAAACACAATCGATGGCATATATAATGTATGCACTGTAATTCGCACTTTATGATCTTTACAGTACGCATAAATGTAGAATAGAATACAAAGCACTAAGTTTGTACGAATAATCTCAATTAAAAAAGAAGCATTATAGCATTACCACTATATCTGTACCAGCGGTGTATTTAAGGAAATTGTAATCTTTTATTTTGATGCTAGTGCATTTAAATAAAATATTGACTTTTACAAGTCTGAACAAGCACAAAACTTAATACAATTAAAAGACAGGGCAACGTCCATACTTTGTAAATGCATAGATAATGACTTATTACAGCTTTTAGCGGTAAAATAAGTGCATATTATTTTCAACAGAAATTTCAATGAATGACTGAAAATGCCTGTTTTGCATGTAACAAATTAAATACAAGTGCAATGGAAATATGAAAAAGTACACGAACAATAAGAAGGGCAAAGAAGTACAAAGTCAAATATTTTGAGCGATGATTACATCAACATGATAGTACTGAATCACATGAACTTATCAGCGTAATCATCATACTCATCAAACACATAATCTTCATAGAGATTACTGTCTGCTTTAGATGGCACTTTATTCTTAAAAGTAGATTTTTTCGTAGTTTTGATCGTAGGCTTGGTTTGTGAACTTTTCCCCTTCAGTAGCTGCAAAAATAATTGTAGGTTTTCATTTTTGAATAGTTTCACATCAGTGAGTATTACAACTACTCTTAACATTTCAAAGAAATGAAGTTAGCCTTCTTACAAAACATAAATAGCAATTTGTTTGAAAAATTTATTTTGACTTTTAAATTTCACCTTTTCAGCTGCAGTTTTCTCATCCGCTATTGTCTTCAGCAGAGTACTTAAAACTCGTGCTTTGCTAGCATCCGCTGTAATATTTATTTTAATAGACAATGATTTCAAGAAAAAAGACAGATTATACATTGTCTTTGAGGCAAATAAGACAAATATATAAACTTATCATGCAACTCATTACTTAATATCACTGAAAGAAGGTTATCGATAAGCAGACAACAAATATTCATGAATTATTACCACTAGTAAGGACAACTTTAAGAAGTGAAACAAGCATCTCCGAAAAGTAAGCATTATTCGATCTTTTCGCGAGCACTTTTCCAATTTTTTCTCCAAATGTCCTAAATTCATCCAATGACTGTATTTCGTCGTATACCAAGTCATCGTCTGATTCAGTACCTACAAAATATTTCGCCTAAGTCACTAGTAAATAATTTATAAATAAAATTTCTTGATAACTTAAAATATAATGAGGAAAGAAAATAAGAACGACATACCAAACAATTCTTTCGCTAGCATTAGATCAGATTTCTTTTGCAATTCTTCTTGATCTTTCGTAGTCAACTCACGACTCAAATCATTCGTGAAAGTGCCAAGAGCATCAGCACGGGGCTTTTTTGATTGAGAAGATGATGCCACTTCTACTTTTTCAGGTATGATCTGTAAATTATCAACATTAAGTAGAAAAGTAGCAAAATCTTAGGAGATAACAAAGAATTTCAATAACGCTAAACTTGATATGCCATACTTTATCGTCAAATTCATCATCTACTTTTGTTCCTTTTACAACTGTTTGCTTCTTTTCATCAAGTTGTTTAACGTCGATTTCAAAATCATCGTCGTCTACAATTCAGAATCACATTAATTCAGAAAACACAATACCAATTAATTGCTACTTCTTAGTGAATCTGCATAGTCAGTTTGGTATAATCTTAAAAAAACAGTAGTGGAGAGAAAACTATGCAAGAAGTATATTTCTCTCTCAATAATTATTCAGATAATCCTAGTCTATGCGTATCGTAAAAACCTCTTGCCACAAATTCTAGTTTTCAAATAAGATTCAGCAAAAGTAAAAAAACAAACCCCAATCACCCATCTTCGAAATCGTTCACTTCCAACCTAAATTTATATTTACATTAACTTATACTCAGATATACAAAACGCCATGATTACGGAAAGCGTCAAAGTATACAATATACTGAGTATGCCATGTTTTTAAGCCAAAAAAATAATTTTCTGTCAACCAGAACATTAAGTGATGTCGAGAGAAGAAATTAATAATATGCGTAGTGATTTCCATATTATTTTTATCTCTGACAAGTTTTTTCTGTTCTAAAAAAATCCTTTAGTATTTCTGTTGACAAAAAAATTTTCTCGCGCATCAGTACCGTTACTAGACTAACAATACACTATACTATCAAACTATAAAAAATAATAAAGCATAAGAAAATAATAAAAGATGCCTAATAATACTTTACATGTTTCAACCGCAATTATTTGAAATATTTGGAGCAAAAATAGTTCGAGGTTTTGATTAAAGATATAATGTGGTATACAATCGAAACCAAGCACAAAGCGCAAAATTCATTTCATCTTAAAGGCATCACAGCAGTCAACAATATTTTAAGAACAAATTTTAACTACCTTAGTGGTCAAATAATATAAGTCTTGAGTGATTTTTAAAATAAAATTAATACGAATGATTTTTGATAAGATCGTAAGGAGCAAAGGCAAACCACCTCGATTATGAATTGAGCTTGGCAATATATTTAAGAAATTTCAAGTTGCGAATTAGAATAGACACTACTTACAATTTATATATTTATACTAACCAGCATCCTACTTTCAATGCAATAACATTCCACCTACTGCCACCAAGTTATTCTAAATTAGAAGGCAAAAAATATTTCAAATGGTGCGATGAGTTATTTCATGTGAAATAATGCAGCATCTTTTTTAACTCACAAAATAGTCATCACACACTGCTGAGTGTCAATATCAGAGCATGTAGTGGTTGATGAGGATGAATAAGTAGAAGTAAGACGTTGACGCAATAATGGCCGAGCTGTGGACTCATCGCTCGGACTGTCGAGAATAAACTCTGAGAGTAATGAGTCAGCTTCAGCAAAGCCAAAAAATTTTGTTAACGTCATATTTTCGATCAGCACTTGTGCCAACGCTTTAAGTGCTGGTGCAAGCAACAAAATATTGCCATAACGAGTTGGCGCTTCCTCAGGCACCTCCGCCAAGACGTAGCAATATAAAGCTTTCAGTATTCGGTTCCGCGCCTCACGCAAAGCCTAAACAACCGATAGATCAGTAATTCATACAATTGGATTTAAAATCTTAATCACTATAAAAAGTGCTATCAATTATCGCAATCTAATTTATCTAACTCAAAATTTCAAGATTGTTTCAAGACTGATGTCGTACTAGCCATGATAAATATTTCGACTTCACAATAGGGCTTTCAAATAAATTGCCGCCCAGCTCATCTATGAGGACTGAGTGAAATATCACGTTTCACGATATAATGGAAGGTTTCATCACCTACTACTTGCAAACACATTTTAAAAATTAAAGTTGTTTTCAAAATTATTGCACTCCTGAGCTCACGATGCTTATTATTTTGCAGTTAGATATATATACTACAGTAATTCGCATAGTAGTTTTCATGAATTCCAGAACGTGGAGCAAATTGAATCTAATTTTACTGTTGCTCTAACTTATAGTAATTTCAGTTCCTGAAAGCAAAAAACAAAAATTCAAAAAAACCGTTTGTGCTGACAAAGAAAGTCCTTTTGCTTCAGGATGTAAGAAAGCTAAAGCTTTCAAGCAAACAAATTCCTCTTCTCTTAATTGCAGCTGTTTTATTGGCCATACTATTTCGTCCATTACACGAGGCATTATGCTGCTTGTTTTGAAGGCTGACAAACCTAAAAAAATCATTGCTATACTTCTTGCAATTTTTTCGTTCTTGAAGCAAAAACTACAGAAAGAGTTTCATTATGTGTTTCATATTGTTTTATGAAATTTGCATCTCCTCATTAAATTTTAGGTATGAATCTTATATCAGTAAAGTATGTGCTTATGGCATTTATATTGAAAATGATGCTATTACATATGATCTCACTTTTTTTCACAAAAATTACAATAATATATGACTTCTAATAAAAAAGGAATTCCTTGGTGACTAGTAACAACTTAATCAGGAAAAGCAAACCATTAAATTCAATGTTTCCAGCACGGGTTAAGTGAGTGTTAGTGAAGATACAAACATGAGTTGTGTTCTGAGAACGGAATGCTGGAACTAAAATTAAGTGCTGAGGTGCATAATTCTTCAGTAATATCACTTTATCATCCACTACTAAATCGGGAAATGGTTCAAGACCTTTGGCCCAATCGACCTGAAATAAACAATTCAAGAATACTTCTCATCGTGAGTAAATTCGTGCATAACTCTACGAAATTTGAATTCAAAGACAAACTATAAATGAGAATTTGGGCTTTAATTCTGAAAATTATAACAATTATGAGTAGTTCTACTAGTGAAGAAATTTGTAAGTAAAGTAAAAATTACAAAGACTGCAACTTAAAAGAAAAAATTTTGGCAGAAAAAATATGCGGTAATCGCCTAAAACTTGATCAAGTACCATGGTGATTAAATGCCAAGCATAATCAACATCAAAAAGTAGAAAAGATGAAGACAAAAATATGAGGTTAAGGAATGTGCTTAACTAAGACTGCAGATAATCCTTTATTTAACTTAAAAAGAATTAAGCTACGTTTTCTTTCAGAAAATGAAAATGTATTAGCAAGAACTACCAAAAACTTGACAATTCAAGATGCAGTCCTAATTTATGAATATAATGCCCCATTTAAAATGAGACTTCTACCTTGTTATATATAAGAATTAGCACACAAACAAATATTGTTCTTTTACAATGATCATAGCAGAAACAAATGCAACAACTTACAAATGACTAGAGAGATGAGTGAAACAGAAAACAGAATTGAGAAATGATAATTAATGGAAATCGAAGAAAATCGACTAAAAGCAAATCGTAAGCGTCCAATTTGGCAAGAAAATTATTTAAAACAAATCTAGCTTGAACAAAGGATTTAATTTTGTCGAAGTAAATAATGCGAGATGGGAGAAAAAAGCTCATTAATATTCCAAGAATGATAAAATAAAATAGATGGATGAGTTTAAATGAAGTTTTAAAAACAAAAGTTTAAAAATAACCATCAAGACAAGTTCTGTTCTCGACAATTCGTTCGAATCATCGATCCTACAAGGTTTCTGCAATTGTGAAAAAGCTGACGATACATTTCCCATTTTATTAGTACGAAGATTGCTGATAACTGTAGAAGACGAAGTAATTACGGAATTTCGATAATGTGCTGCCATTTCTTGATTAATCCGTGCCTCCATATGCATTAAAGTTTCGATGACACTTGAACTGACAGTAGTATTTATAAACTGACTATCACAGAGTGATGTTTCCGGACCCACAGTTCCTACATCATTATCTTCCTCAACTCCTGATGACGGTGCTTGGTTACGACGTTTCGTTGTACCAAACGACTCACGTTCAAAATTAATAGCTGTAATAAGTAGACTTTGACATTTTTTAGTAAAATACATGTCTGATCATTGTAAAGAAAAATCATGAGGTTAGCAAAAACATTTTCATCGGAATTATCATTAATATTCATTAACACACCAGCTTATAGTTATCAGTTTATCACTAAAGATATTATATTTAAATTCTTATAAGTGATCCTGTTATTAGTATGATTGACCTTCCTTCTTCATTCCAACTTGCAAACATTTTTGAAAGCGACAATATCGGCACGCACATCGAAAATTTTTATCAATTCTGCATTTTTTATTAAAACGACATGCAAATTTTTGATTTTTTAATATTGTTCGCCGGAAAAACCCCTGAAAAGAATGAGTAAGAAAATTATTTCATGAAATTGGACAGCTACATAATAATAATACTAAATTCATAATTTAGATGAAACCAAAAAAACTTGATGTCTCAGTGATTTTTCTATTACTGTTAGAAACAAAGAAAGTTTTATCAAATAGTAATAATAATGAAAAAAAACAGAGAAAAAAAGTAAAGAAAAATATGAAAAGATAACTTGATTGCAGCAATATAGCGAAGTAATGTTTAGTTTTGATTTCTAACAGTAAGAAAGAGTCATTGAGATTGCAAATACTAATGGAATTATGCCAATAAATATAGAAATAAATTTGGAAAGATCAATGGATGAGAATGGTAAAATAAAAATTACTTTACATCCATTACACGAAAGGACTCCATAATGTGTACCAGTTGATTTATCACCACAAACAGCACAAGGCTCACTAAGCGGATTCACTGCAATAACTTTATAGCACACGATACTGAAGACTTTCTTAAAATAAAAAATTCAACTTTTAGATAACAAGCTTGTTTCTGCAGAAAACTTGCAAGATTCGTGAATATACTGCTAAATGCTACCATATATAGCTGTTTTTAATTGACAATCAAACAGGAATCAAAAACTTTAAGAAACTAGTTGAAAAACGTCTAAATCAAAAATTTATTGAATAAATTTACAAGAAAAAATGTCAATTTTACCAAAATCCATTTCAGTTTCTTTTCAGAAACTGATGCTTTTTTGACGAAATGAAGCACTCATCCAAGAATAATTCATTTATTGGAACATCTGCGATGCTCTTGATTTCTAGAGAGAAATCAATTTTTAAAAGCACCAAAAATTACGCCAAATCAAATAACAGAGCTCAAATTTTATTAAATATGATGGAAAAAGACATTAAAATTATATTCATTTATATATCAATAACCTGGGCGATCACCATGAAATTTTTCATGCATATATAATAAAAGTACTAAAAATAATATAATACATTATGAACAAATAAATGAGAACTTTTTCTACAAAAATTAACTTATATTGACACAAAGTAAAACATTTTTTCTTAATTGGTATGAAGACTTCTTTTAAATGAGAAAATTCTTCAGCATATATTCTGGTAGTATCATTTTTGTCAAAATCTGCTAGCACAAACGGGCCCTTAATGTGATAAGTTTGCACTACGTAATATTGTTGCATATTTTTTCCTCTGATAAATATTAATCAAATAATCACGATTTTTACTAGCAAAATGCTGTTAATTCTTTATTTTGCAATTTTTCTCAGGATCAAATTCCCGCAATTTTCATATTACTTAGATGAACAACAATTTGTTTACTATATAGGCAAGCGTATTTTTAACTGCAATTTTCAAAAATAAAATTGTACATTTACAAGAAAAAATTTCTTTTTTTCTGTCACATATTCTATCAAAATAATTAGTAGCACTATATGTTTCCAGCACTGTAACTGATTATTCATTTTAACAATCCATCATAAAATGAGAAAAAAATTTGACACTGGCGAAGTTCAATGAATATTAAACGTATCGTTTACTATCAGATTGAAATGAGCAGCTTGAAACTAATGTAAAACATACAAAAACAGATGAATTTCCACGTGATTTACGCTTGAACGTGCTATGCATTTCAATAAAATTTTTTATTAAAAATTTATGTTTACAATAAGTTAATAAAAAATATAAAGGCGGTTTTGTGGAAGAGTGGAATATCGATAGAAGGAGAACAGATATTAATGTAGACAATATCTCAAAATTTTTTACGTTCAATAAACATATAACATTCACTTTCGCTACACACTCGCATTCTTCTATCACTCAAACAACACTCTTTTTAAATGTTTTGCTATCAGGATTGTCTTCTTCCTCACACTATATCAGAAACACTGCTATTTCATTGTCGGAAAAGATCAATTTGTCAAAATATTAATTGTGAGGGGGACTGATGAATGTCATCTGCTGGCCGGGGTTTTGCGTGCAGCAGACATTGAGCGTGTTGTTTCGCAGGTTTAGATGATTTAAGGAAGTCAATTACACAGATCTTAGTAAAGATTGAGTGGGATATGGGGACATTATTTGGGAAGTTGGCCATCAATTGAAAGACTAAAGTACAAATCCTACCGTTTAGAGCAACAGTGAAGTTTTTAATTTTCATACAAAAAATTATCACGCATGCAGACAGATAGTATGTAAGCATGGCTTATTTTTGTATAAAAGATTAAAATCTCACTTTTATTTTCATTGCACGCAGATGCCCTTCATCCTGGTACGTATGACTAGTTATACTAATTACCATTACAGACATTATTGGTATCTAGTTAACACTAAGTGATTTAAGTTTCCAGACTTAAAATTATTGTTTTACGCACATTGGACTCTTGCTAGAATTCATGTAAACAGTCTGATCAGTTTTGTGGAAAAATTACTGGTTGTTTATCATATTTCTGTGCCATTGTTGATCCATAATTATTTTTGGTTATATCTGCCTTCAATTAATCTGTTTAATGTAGCACATTAATTAGAAATTAGAATTAATTTAATTTCCTAAAACAGTTTTCCAATAGTTCATTTTTGTTTGGCTTTATTAACTGCGCTCATAGAGAAATAGCCGTGAGATGATGAACCTTATTGATCACATTTAATTATTGTCTTACGTTTAATGTCATTTTTCAGTGATGATAGGCTTTTCTGAGATTTACTGTTCGTCAAGCGTGATTATAACGCAAACTGACGTTGCTATCATAACTGGTGACTTAGAGTTACAGCAGTATGTTTTTACTACATTTTTAGTGTAAAAGAGTTTTTCTATTTGATTTGCTCAGGTTTTAGTCAAGTTTGGAATTAATTTATGGAAGATCCTCTTTCAATGAACTGTTCTCAAATACTCGACTGAAACTTGAATAATCCAAAGAAACGAAAAATGATATTGCATTACTGTTAGATAGTAATGTTTGTTTTTTGCGAGGGAGATAATTATATGTTATTATCCGTTGATAAATATATATGTGCTATTTTTATTAAATCATATTTTCAGCAAATCATTTTAAGAGATCCTCTTAAAAAATTTTTTTTCAGGGAAAATGCATCTGCCTCACGTTTGCTTTTGACAACTGTTTAAGGATTTGTGGTTTTCCACAAATTCATGCCACTAATCTTTTTCTATCTTTTTTTGATCTCTTTACAAACCGCTTTCTGTGGAACCTGACTTAAGCTTGTAATTTTATGGAATGATGGAAAAAGCTATTATCAGGTTAAATAATTGCACTAAACATATACTTAACAGCTTTTACTCTATGTCATTTAAAAAATAAATAAACGTTTCAAATTTTTTGTCACTTGAAATAATTTTTTGATTAAGTATAATTGAATTAGGAGCTCATCTTCATTTTATAAAGTTTCAGTAAAATATTATGGATATTTTGTTTGATAGTGAAGTTCATCTCATCTTAATGTTAGAAAATGACTATAAATAATTTATTTAGTAGAAATTGGCAGTGGAACAAATTCACTGATGATACTTTAGCAGCTGTTGAAGCTCGTCTATTTTCCCATGTCAGATCAAGAATTACTTCGCAATTTATACCGGTTTCTCTACTTTTGCAGACTTAATGTTCACATTTCAAATGTGCAGTTAATTTTGTATCTGTCATGTTTACTATTGAATTTTCGGATTTATTTTTTATCTAGAGGAAGTTCCAAGTTGTGTTCATTTTGTGGAAGCAATGGTTACCTGCTTTTGCCTTCATTGGAAAAATTCATCACAACTGTTTTAATATTCTTTCGTTCTTTGCTAAACTGGTATTTGCATCGGTTAAAATTTTGCAGATAACAATGGGGCGGATATATACTGTCGTGGCAGAATCTTCAAGATCTTCATCTGCTCGAATACCGGTGGTTCTCATACATGGATTTGCTGGAGGCGTTGGTTTCTGGGCTGCTAACATCGATGCTATGGCAGAGAATCGATTACTATATTGTTTTGACTTGCTAGGTATTCTGCATCTGGGACTGACATCTGATTCCACAAATGTTTTTTGAGTTGTATTTTATCAAGTTTCAGGTTTTGGCCGTTCATCACGTCCTTCTTTTGCCGAAGATCCGGCTTTAATTGAATTGCAGTTTGTTCAGTCAATTGAAAATTGGAGAAAAGAAATTGGAATCAGCAAAATGATTCTGATAGGACATTCTTTCGGTCAGTATTTGTCCGAAAATTTTTTATAATTTCTGTCTCACAGATTCTTCATTCTCTCTTTTGCTTGTCGTTTCATCTAAGAAAGCCATTCCCACCTTTTGATATTTCGTATTGATTGTATTGCATTCTTTCTTTTCGTTCACATTCAATTCTTGTTTGGTGTATATTTTCAAAGATTTAGGAGCATTTATAGCTGCTGCATACACGTTAGTAAATCCTGAACGTGTGCGACATTTAGTTCTTGTTGACCCATGGGGATTTACTGCAAAATCTGATAGGAATTTTTCACAGGTTATTTTTCATTTTGCTGCTCTATTACTGAATTAAGGATATGCAGAAAAATTTCACATGTTTTATTGAAAAATATGTTTCAAATGAGCCACTATCATGCATTAATTTTATTTGCATCAGAATTTTCCGGCTTGGATGAAGATTGTAGTGCGAACAGTGTCATTGTTTTATCCATTATCAGCATTACGCCTGGCTGGTCCGTATGGTTAGCTTCAAATTTTTGTTTTTTAGTTTCAGTCAACCTGCTTCTTTACTTATGTTATTTTTTCTATGAAAACCTAGAAGATGCTTTTTTGATCAGAGTTTTTTCTCTTAATATGCAGAGTGTAGTAGTTTATTCTCCCTACTATAACAATCTTATGATGTCATTCTGATTTTTTCTTGTATTTTTAGGAGTCACATTAATTAAAGCGCTGCGACCAGATTTAGCTTTCCGCTTTCCCTGCATCGATTCAAATGATATTTATGAGTACATATATATGTGTAACGCTCAAAATCCTTCTGGAGAAATTGCTTTCACAAATATGAGCTTTTCGTTTGGTTGGGCTAAACGACCAATGCTTGAAAGGCAAGTAATACTGCTTAATTTCATTGTGACTTGTCGGTACTGTGTCGAGTCATTACTATTTTTCTGTAATTAACTAAATTATCTTTCTACTTATTTCATCGTCTTTTTTTGCAAATTTTTTCATCATTCATAGGTTCCTACTGTCACTGTCAATAACATAAAAACACTAGTTTTATATGATTCTACTTTCATTATAATAAAAGCCTGCATGATACAAAAATCAAAAAAATACGGAATCTTTTCTAGAATAATCGATTTACCACCCAGTATGTCAATCACTTTTATTTTTGGAAGCAGAAGCTGGATTGATTCGTCTATTGGTGTAGAAGTGCAAAGCAAACGACAGAATTCTTATGTCGACGTTCAGGTCTATTCAAATATTTGATAAATGATCAAAGAAACATTTTATAGTATGTATTGCAGGTGATTAATGGTGCTGGCCATCATATTTATGCTGACCAAACGGAGGTTTTCAACAGTGCTTTATGTGATTTATTCACAAAAATTGATGCCGATGAAGACATTGTTACTCTTTCGAGAGAACAGTAAAAACGAGTCTGAAAGTTTATCGTTTTTGCCGGACTCTCAGGTTCCATCGTCCATCATGAAAAAATTCCTATTGTCAGGTTCCACCGTCTAATGTTGTATCACGTGATTTGATTATTATGGTCTATTACATACTTTAATGTTTACCTGTACAAAAAGATAAATTTACGAAAAAAAGTTCCTTTGTAGCATACTAAAATCTTAGTTTTATAGATTGCATTTCTTAAATTTTGCCTCTAAGTGCAATGAATAAAAGAATAATGTTTTGCAGTCCAATAATCAATTTGTATAAATTTAAAAGAATATATGTATCACTATGTTATTTTTGCTGACTTTTGACTTGCGTTTCACACTATTGCGTAATTATAGCATTAGTTTTATCCTCATTCGTTCCTTTAAATAACATTTGTCACTATTATATTCTTTTTTTGTTTTTTGGTTTCTGTCAGACTGTCATTTATTTTTTTATTTTTTATTTCAAGGATTTTTATTTCATTTCACCTCGTAAATGAGTCATGCAGCTGCAAATGCGGTTAACTGCTTTTTTGTCGTCAATTTTTGATAATGCAATTCGTCCACGTATTTTTGTTTATGTGTCAGAATTCGCTATCCTGCCGATATCGTTTGCGGACTTCAGAATCCTTATCTTAATGAGTGTATGGGGGTAAATTGTTTTGAGTAATGATGATGAAATAATTGAACTTTAGGTTTTGGATTTTCAAGATTTAACTTTTGTAATATTAGAAAAGAGGTATGAGAGTAAGAAAACATTTTTTTTCAGAACATCAGAATAAAGGTAGGCAAGAAGCGAGGGTGTTAACAAATCCTTGATTTGCCATTTGGTTAATAGGTTGCCGTGAATCATGGTAACTTGTAGAGCTTTAATGTAGTGCATGACAATTCTGTTTAAATTTTTTTTGGTCAACAGCAGTGACTGATTATTTTTTGCCAATTTGATGGTTATTACAAAGCTATGAAAGTAATTTTTCTACTAGTAATCATATTTGAAAGTAAGGTTTTTGAGATACATTTTCTTCTTATGTAACGTTTTTGGTTATTAATTTCACAGCTGTAAGCATTTCAATTATCGGAAGTGATTACTCATTCAGTGATACAACTAAACAGAGCGAGGACATTATATTTCATAGTACGAAGTAGGAATTAAATAAATGTTCATATTATTTGGAAGGTGGTGTTATGAATGTTATGACTTGGATGTGTTAGTATGTTAGATTCTGTATTTCCGATTCGTGGCTGTATCTCCATCTGCACCATTTATTTACATGGCTTGTAATTTTCAAAGATCGTGAATAGCTGAAATTTTTGCAGAATCGTTTGCTTCGGATAGTGAGCATATTTGAAATTTTTACCTTTAAAATTGTCTGAATTCAGTCACTGGTGAAAAATTTGTGGAAAATGTAATCATCTGGAAATTTTTGCAGTCTGTTATACAATTTTTCATTCCATTTTCTTGATAAGTTCTGTCTGCAGTTGAGATCGGATTAGCAGCAAACTAAGTAGGTATTATTTTTGAGGAAGGAAATCAGCTGAAATAGTAATTTGATTGCCAGAATTGTAAATAAGCAGGAGGAAATTTGCATGGTGAGGGAAGAAAAGAGCTTTATCGATTTTTATCTTCACGAGTAAACTTTTATCAATTTTATCAAATGAAGGTACATTTTTGAAATCAAAATGTGAACATGAGATGTTGGAGGGCACAATGCAGCAAAAATTGGCGTGAAATTCGTTTGGTTAAGGATTCGTTTTTTTTTTTTTTTTGAGTATTGTTGAAATAAAAAACTTCTAAATAAGATAGGACATTATTTGGGACAAATTCCCAATAGATTCTGCCATTTTTATCAATGCATTTATTTTTGCATCTCATTTAATTTGAAATTGAATACCAAAGAAGACTGAAGAAGAAATAAGCCGGGAATAGGAAATGTTATGTTATAATCTGTTCAATTTATTAGGTGCGTCTTATCCATTATTATGTAATCTCAAAATCCGCAAGTATTTTAGATTTTATCTAATCTGCTATTGAGATATCCATTACAGTTGTGCAATTCTACATTTAGTACTTATTCACTGTGATAAAAGTAAGAGGATGAAATAAAATGAAGTAAACAACTTAACAAAAATTAATCGGGATATGAATTATTTGTGGACTCACAATGTTTGCTTGCAATACAATGGATCGTTCGATCTATTGATTGAGTCAATTTCAAGAAATGCGCAGGAATGATTATTGAATTAAACAAATTCTGCTTCGATAATTCTGCAATAACTTTACTAATATTGAGAGATTTCGTTGTTTTTAATGGATTTGAAAAAGTAGATAAGTACTATAACATTTAATGTTTAAGCAGATGACAAAATTGCCCAGAAAAAATATCACTTATAATCGAATACTATTAATCCGCTACATTAAGTGCCAAATCGGTAATCACTAGGATTTACTTCTTACATCATCGTGAAAATATTTGCACTAGTTTTAATTTTGCATTATATGAAAAATAAGAATTGCTTAAAATGATGAAAACATTAATTTTGATTACTTAGAATTGCTTCTGCTAGATTCTGTTTACATTTTACTTTTTCAGAATTAATACGATAGATTTTGAGATACAAAGTCAAACTTTAATGATGAAAGAAGTTTGTTTTTTTGAAGTTTATTTAGTAATGTACAGAAGGAATCAATCAGTTTGTAGCTATGTGCAGTATAGTTTTCGCTGAGCAAACTACATACTGAAATTAAATGTGATCGAAGAAGACTTTTTTCCTTTAAATGCTAGGAAAATTGTATTATCAAACTTCGGAAGAGAGTGGAAATAGCGCTTTGTTGAAAATTTTAACCAAAATTTTGTCATTGTGTTTTTGGCAAATTGATAATATATCCGTTGAATCAAGTAACTTTTTTTTTTCTTTTAAAAAAATTTGTACAAGTTGAATTTGTTTAGTTTTGATAATTATTTAATAATTTTGCTAATACTAATAGAAATTTGTCGAAGAAAAAGCAAGAAGAAAAAAGTTTGTTGCAGTTACTGTTTATTTTGTAGCATTTGGAATGGCTTTGCTGTTCAAAAATTTTCGATTATTAATATCTTTTCCAAGAAACCAATGCTCAGAAAATTTGAATTTGCTAATTTTTTTGGTTTTTTCAGTTTTTTTATTTTTTGGTAACAAATTTTTTAGCATTTTCAAAAATAGCAAGAAAAAGATTTTTTTACTATTTCGGCAATAATTTTTATTCAGTTCAGTTTTGTTCAAATATTAAATGTCATAGTATTTATTTATTATTCCAAATCCATTAAAAACAACAATCTTCTTCAAGTATTAATAACGTTATTAAATAATAATTAAATGTAGATACATTTCTTTAATTTCATTTCCATTACACCTTTTTAACTAATAACTTATTAATTGCACAGTTCATTTATCAATCAAATGTCATTCGCAACAAAATCAAACCAATCGGCTATTAGAAGTATTTGGAAAAAATGTGTAAACTGTAAGCAACAAATCAGATCACGTCTTAAGACGCATAACTGATTGAAATACAACAGAAAAATAGGACCAAAGCACTGATCTGTTTTTTATCTCGTTTAGCACCAGACATTTATATGAACAAGTAATCAAATGCCTTACAAATAATTGTTTTCAATTTTCATCACTCATCAATTGAAACAATCAGAAGTCAAAATTTTATGCGAAATCACAGAATTACATTTGCGTAGAATTATTCACACGGAAATTCTCGATTGCATTTACATTTAATTTGAAACACATTCAGCTGATTGAAGTGAATTCTCTTTTTGTTTCTTTTTTAATTGACTGCTATTAATATTTTGCCTATTTATTACTTTTATATCGCACAGTTATTTTGAAAATTTAGAAAGAGTACATCAATTTTTCGATTCTTTTAACTTATTATTTAATGAGCATTAATATTCAAATTTGTTCATTTCAGTACATATCTACACATTATGCTGACGAATTTATTCATCTTTTCTTCGACTGATTAAAAATTTTTAGATTTATTAATAATTACATTATCAATAAACTAAGTTGTCATAAATGAACTAAATATGCAGCTTCTTAAATAAACTTTTGCATAATTTATTCGCAGTTCGCTCTGAAATATTTTCAAATTTCTGCTTTCTTAACGCATTATTACTGCTAAAATGAATAGCTAACAATTACGCATTAATTATTTTTTATCAAATTGAATTAAGCATTGAACAATATAAATACTTTTTATTTTTCTAGCAGTAATACACTGCAATTAATTTTATTTCAAATTATTTTTATCTCTTACAGTATGGCAAACGCAACAAGCAAAATGCACCCTCAATAATTTTTAAATTTAAAAAAGGTATACAAAGATATTACCCCTTTTTACTCTCTGCTCAGAAAGTATTAATTTTAATATGTATATATCAGAAATTATTTCAAATCAAAAAATATTCAATTTCAAATTAGTTCGAATAAAAAAGACGACGAATGACCAGTAGAAACTGACATTTTTTTAATTTTTTTTGACATTTCATCAAAATGCAAATATCAGTCATAATTTTCACGTCTGAATTTGCTTCTGCTGAGAAGCAACTAAAGATATTTGACATGCTGGCAAATATTATTCACTTTTTTATCGCTATAAATTTGCAAACATTAGACAATTTTTAACAGTAGACTAAAAAGTATACGTAATGCGTGAGATTTGCTCTAAACTGTGCTACGACAATAATTAGTAAGCTTAATTGGTTAATTTTATTGAGTAAAATTAAAAAGTTTAAATTTTGAAATTTTGAATAAAAATTCTTTCAAAACAATTTTTTCGAAATAATAAAAAAATCTTTTTAGCAATACGGAATAACAAATTTATTAGTTTTTGATGTCTTTAAAAACTGGAAATGCTTGCTACTTTTTGCAAAACTGTATTTTTGTAAAGATATTGACAAAAAATAACTTTTTTGCTTTTACCACTCAGATCACTAAAAGGACATCCAAGTAATAGGCGGACTTCTATTCCCGATTGTCTTATTTGGGATTCTGATGGAATGTTTAATATTAAAAAAACTAAATTCTTACAATGCATGTGAGTAAAATTTCATGCAATATATTTCAGTTCTAAATGAGATACAAAAATTAATGCTAAACATAATTGAAATTATTGTCTAAAAGCAAAAAACGGTCAGCAAGTATTTATTTAGTATCATTTGCAATAATATTATTAATCAGAGAGTTAATCAGTAATATCAATTCTTGCAGTATTTTAGTTAAAACCATTGCGTAATGAAACGACAAAAAGAGATAATATTTTTCCAAAAGGTCTGAAATTCAATTTTGAAAAAAAATATAAAATTTTAAAAAAGTTCTGTAGTTGAAAACATCTTTAAAATTCTTTTTTTGAAAACAATAAGATTTTTGAAATTTTGTTTTTTTCAATACTGAATTAATTAGATGATCTTTTTTTTGTTTGAAAAATTTAATAATTACCAAAATGAAGTAATAATTATCAAATTCAGTGCAAGGTTCAGAGTTCGCATATAAAACCAGGCAAATGCTTGCTGCTTGCTGCTTGCTGCTTGTAAGATAGAAAGGTTACTCAGAGATAATGATTCATTCTCTCATATTTAATTCATGCATGTAACAAAATTTAACGCTTTTTGCAACGCTTAAAGTAAAGTGTTTTTTGTTCAGAAATAATGACTTCTCGACATATGATCACTCACAGAATTATAAATTGAATTTTGCAGAAATTATTTTATTAATAAATTACAAAACAAATTTTATATGCATATAATTAATTTCCATGCAAGAATGTCTCTTTTTAATCAAAATTTCAAGCGTCAATCTGGATTTTTTCACACTGACTGAAAGTATACAATATTTACTATTTGTCTATTCATAGCTGTTTTTTTTTCTTTTTTTTGGATGAAAAATTGAAAAGATTGATTTCCACGCAATTTGTTGGACATCTGTTGCGTTTGGCACAGAATATAGCTTTGAGATGGAAAAAATTGAATTTAGTCAAAATTGAAGTCAATGCGAGCTTCGCCGAACCATTTCGCCCTCTGCACTGCTACGTTGATGCATTGATAATTCTGTGTTGGCATGTGATCTGTCATAAATTAACAGCATTGTCATATTTTAATCTGATGACATTTCCGATTGTATGTCTTCTTTTGCAAATGATTGGAACTAAAATTATTTCCAAAATAAGTCAGAAAAACTCATCTGTCATTCGTATTATTATGAATCTATTCTTTGATTAAGTATTTCCATTTGATTAATTAATAAATTGAATTAGAACTTAATAATATCACTTTTTATAAGTCAGTCATAAGTATTACCTAATTAATTCAAATTTACATTTAATGCAAATATGTTTGAGTCTAAATAAAGTTAATACGCCTTCAGTATGGTAGGATGGAACAGTAAAAAATTGAGTTAACAATTTAATTCAGTCAAAAAGTAACTTTTTAGTCATCAAACATTAATGAGGGAATTGAAAACTATTGTATTCAATGAATAGTAGTGAAATGTTTTAGGTTAAATCATAAAAAAGGAAACTTCTGAGCTCATCTGATATATTATTGGGATCAAAGTTCAAGCATATAAGTAAAAATAAAAAAGGTCCAAAAATTTGCAATAATAAACATTAAGATTCGAGGACAAAATATTCCCAAACGATAATTTTGGACTAAATAAATACTTCTGTGTCTTGAGATCTAAACTCAGCACTGATTATCATTTGCATAATTGACTGATATTTTTTTTGGCTTAGTAAAACGAAAATGTTTATTAGCATTTCGACAAGAAAACATGCAAAATATCAAATTCAAATAAATTTCATCTCAACGAAAAACGAATTCGTGCAGAAGGAATATGTATAAAGCATTACACAATGTTGTTGGAATGCACTACTTGAAATTTAAATTCATTACAACAAATTCACATTAAACTTTCATTTTTATGAAGTGCAAATGTGCCTGGATCGGAAGGAAGGGCCTAGCTCTGAGGAGGAGTTTTGTAGATTGCCAGGCCTTAAAAGTCCGCTAAATTCCTTTTAAAGGCATATTAAGTATAGATTTACGCAGTATAACAAATTGTTATAAACCTTTTTTGTATATACTTTTAGGCCTGTGATCAAAGTATGTGTTGATTTTTATTCAAGTAATCAACTAAATATACTTTTGTCTTGAAAAATAAAACTTATAAGTTTTCATTTTCAAGACGTACCAAAAGAATTTATATTTTAGTTTCAATACAAGAAATAATTTTTGTTTTTTTAGCACCCAATAATTTTTTTAAATGTTCGAATGTATGAAAATAGCATTAAGTAATAAAAAATTGAACAATATCAGACAGTGATTTTCTTTTTAACATTTTAAATTATTATTAAAAAAAACCTTTACTTTCTGCATTTATGCTGAAGTAATTTTTTGCGTCAACTTCACCAATCATAAATGGAATATTAAGCGTTTTTGAGTTCAAAGTAAAAAATATTACCCGAGCAGCATTATTTACTGATTAACTTTTGATTAATTAGCAAGTATTTTTACTTCATTAGCACTTTGCAAAATAGCTTGTATAATCAGCATCAAATTACAATTCTTTTCTGATAAATTTAAGCAGAAGAAAATAATGGACTTGTACCACCCATTCCATTTCGTTCGAAAATCAGAACATACTGAAATGTCCTCATTGAAAATTCATGCTAACGCTAAAAGTAATCTGAAAAATAATTAAAAACTTTTTGTTGCACTGATTTCTTGATGTCCAAACATATTTTATGAAAGTTTAGCATTAATTATTGATAGAACTTTTAATTTGCTGCAAAAGTAAGGAAAATAATTGATAGCATCTAGAAATGCTGAAGAGATTCAACAAAAACTGTCATTTAGAAGGATTTTAACTAATCTGAAGTCTATCCTTCATGTCATCAAATGCTTTTAAATTAAATATTTCTTCTTTGCAGATTTTTGTAATTCAAACTGAGAGAATCTCTAATTTTTACTTTTTTATATTAAACAGAATAAAATAATTAGAAATGAAAGGCAGTCAATTAACGGTGACCTTTACCCTAATGGTTGCTTTGTTGGTCTTTACCTTCACAGCTCCCACAACAGCACAATCTTCAATTGCAATGGATACTGATGGCGACGATGTGAGTTTGCATAATTTACTTAAATTTATCGTTTATCGTTTTCGTTTATTGAGTAATTAAGTTCTTATTCAAGCAATGAATAAGTTTTTCCTAGTGATTTTTGTATTTTTGTTGTAATTTAATATTAAGTTGTATTTTCGTACTAAAGCATCATCGATAGCAAAAGTTTGTATGTAATGTAAAAATTGTTATTATGACCGAAAATTCACAATTGTTAAGAAATCTATCTGATAAATACAGTGGTATGGAAGTATGTTTCCGTTTGATTCATTAATTTTTAAACAGACATAAACTGTTATTCTCTCAATTTTACGCTTTTCTTTCACGCTAAGAAATTAATAAAATTATTTTACACAGAAACTGAAAAAATTACCCAAAATAGATTAATTTTACTCAAAAGATTATTGAGTATTCTGTTCAGTTTTAAATAATTTTTTTTCAACTGACTATTATTGTATTCATTTAATAAACATTCTGTGTTTAAATCAAAAACAATTATGCTTATCATTTTGCATAAAATATTAAATATCTGTTCACGAAAACGATATTCAAAATAAGCAGCAAGTGATTAAGTATAAAAGTAATTCTTTAAATAATTAGACAAAAAGCATTTAGATCTTTGTATTTTATTGCATATTATGTAAGGAGAGCTGATTTTTGATTAGCAATATGAATATTAAAAGAAAAATATTTAATTAATTAATTGAATATGTATGAATAAACTGAGAGTAAATAGCATGCCTTTATTATATCACATAGTGAAATCTGATTGAAATGATGCAGAAAAAAGTTTTTGTATCAGTGAATACTAGCGATTTTTGAATTGCAATTGCTAAAATAATGCTTTCTTATGTAAGACTTTTTAACTTTTACATTTCAAATTTGAATCAATCAATTTAACAATATTTATTAGTTACAATTTACAAATGCAAAATATTTTAACATCATAACTATTTTATCTGATCTTGTTATTATTTAATTAATTTTCGCAAGGAAAAATGATTGCAGGATGAATTTCTTCGAGAATTACGAGCCCCCAATGCTAAATGGATGAGATTTGGAAAAAGAACTCCCAATGCGAAATGGATGCGATTTGGCAAACGAAGACCAAATGCAAAATGGATGCGATTTGGGAAGCGAAACGACGATTTCTACGATATCCAATAAATTTTAGTCATTTCTGCAAATAATTGTGATATTTCGTTATATTTCTAGAATTTATTATTTTTTTATCCCAAAATATGTATTTGTTTTTGTTTTGCGATAAACTGTCTTTACAGAAAAATTGTACAGAAAGATTGTGTATGTCTGCACAGAAGTATCTCAACATGAAATAAAATTTGATGCAGTAAAAGTTTTGATCAAATTATTGAACTGTTTCTGGTAGAATCGATCATTACAGTGTTTCATGTTATTATGATAAAGTGTGCAGTTACTTATTTTAAACGTTATAGTTACTGATGCAATATGTCGTGATAAACGTTTAGCATTCGGTTGGTTGAAGAAGATAAGAACATTATAAAAATTTATAATTAATGATAGACACTGATTTCATTAATCTATTATTTCAATTCCTTTCTGCTGAATATTGTCTGCATGAGGTATGAATTGCATTTCGTAGTCCCAAATATCACAAAGATCATTTCTAACTTACCAAAATCAGGCTTCATTGGAATGATAATACAAGCAACAAATTCCGTCCTTAATTAATATAAAATGAAAAAATAGCAAATATGCAAAAGCAATTTAATTCATTATTTGAGATTCTAATTTATATCTGTTATTAACAATGCTGCCAACAATAATTATTAACTATGATAATTAATATTAATTATCATTAATAAACTTTTAGCAAGACAACATGCATATTTTTTTGGAGATGATTTGTAGTGAAGAATTCTGAATGAAACCGAAAGAACTTTGAAAATTTGTTATGAGAGTAATGAAGATGAATTAGAATCCAACTCTGAGTGCAAATAATGCATAGATGAAGGCAAGTATAAATTAGATTCCTAGCGACTTGCGAATTAAAAAGTGGCTATGGACTTATTACAAATTGTAGTGTGCTTATTAATGTCAATTAGTTTTGATTTTCTGAAAATATTCACAAGTTACACTTTGAATATACCAAATCTGAAACATTTTTTGACTATATATGAAAAAAAGCTGTAATTTAATTAATACAAGTACTTGTCAACTAAAATCTAATTACCACTTTTTTAATGCATATTAGTCACAAATCAATTTTTGGCTTCTGAATGCAGTGGACTTGTTAATGTAAATTTAAATGATAGTAACTTGGATTATTACAAACTGTGCAACGATTTATGGGCTCATAACTTGTACGACTACAAGCTATTATCACATTAGTTATACTAATTAATCCTGAGTAATATTTCTGATGAGTGTATTTAAAGAGACGTATTAAGTTTAATTAGCATATTGCTTCTTAATTTGTAGTCAATTGTGGTTCGTTTGATTCAAATTTCTCTCAGCACAGTTACCACTAATTTGGTAGTAAATGCGAATTTTCTCTGAAATAGTGCTATTCTTGAGACTGACATCCCTCGACAGTTGTATTCACTTTTGCGCCCAGTTTCTGATTTAAGAAAACTGATAATAACAAAAAGTATCTCAGATAGAAAAAAGCTTTACTGACTCCTTGATACTTTTCCTGATAATTACAAGATAGTGACCATAAATAAGGCTTCCATGCAGTTTTCGTCTGCAGTAGCTGCTAATATAATTTGCATATTTTGTTCACTCTCAATCAATAACTCTGATGCTTTACAAACATTAGAGCAGACAAAATACTTGGTAAGAGAACTGTATAAAAACAGTTATTGTCAGGAGACAAGAGAAAACTTCACTAGACATTTAGTAAGTGCATCGAATGTGCTGCAATAATTGATTACAAGTTTATTAAAAATTATAAAACAATTGTAATATTTTAGATAAACATGAATATTTTGATAGATATTTTTCTTTTCTGCACAAGAAAATATTTTAAAAGAATTATTGCGAAATAAATGAATAGAATTATTGTAGAATTATTAAGTTGTGAGACAGAATTCAATTAATTATGAAAGAAGAAGTGAGTGAACGAAAGATAAAGAGAGATGATAAAGTTTGCAAAAAGCAAGAAATTAGCGCATTGTTGCTAGGAACAGAACGAGTAGTTGATGAGAGCAAAATGAGAGAGTGTGTTTTTGATGAGTGTGCAAAGAAGGATATAAATTGTAGGAGTATACGAGAGGATAATTCTTTGCTTGTTTGCAGTAGTGCGTAATGTGACATAATTTGGAAGTGCTTGTTTATTCACGAATGCTTATTAAATTTGGACTGGCATGTTAGGTCACGTTGAGATCTTTCCTAGTATTTTGTAGTATTAAGTATGACTTACAAGAATTTTAGCACATATATACATGTCAAAGCATTTGTATTACTCATACTTATCGGATAAGTGTGATGTTTTTACAGCATTGCTGTTCCTTATGTTTGTACTGCTAGTTATTGGAAAGATCATTTTAGTTATCATTTTAAATTTCTATGCAAATAAATAAGCAAACACCGTTTTAGAGACATAAAATTGAATTGCTTTACATTCCGTCATGAATGCGTTTTTTCCATATATGTATAATGTATGTATGGTGTATTTGTTTAATGATAGAAATCCAGTTTGCTTAGCGTGTACAATAGAGGTTGGGAATGATTTTCATAATGTTTAAAATTTGTTACGAAACTTTGCAAATGACTATAATTTTTATGTTTTTTATTTTTAGCTTCTCTGTTCTTAGAATTAGCTCTCGTTCATTTGAATTAGTGTCTTTGATTCAATTGAACGGGAAATACTTATTATTCGATAAGAAAATGCTGACATTGGATGATCTGAAGATCCGAGTTGTCGCGGTCATTGGCTCGGAGAAACATGGATGTACCGAGGATGATCTGCGCCGGATTTATAAGTATCTTTATATGTTGTACCTCACCGTATTAAGTATTTCGATCTTTACGTAAATAGAGTTTCTAGTATGTAATGTATGGAAACAAAATGTCAGTACCAGTGGTTATACACTGTTTTATGAAGTGTGTTGCAAGAATAATTAGTATTTGAATCATTTTGCGATTAATTCGCTATTTTATTAATAATATCTTTTTTAGATGGTTTTAAGTCTTATCTTTCATATGATAGCTATGATGATAATTCAGGAATATGTATGGTAAGGATTTGTGTCCAAAAGATTATGGATTCGACAATTTGAGGTCATTTCTTATTTCCCGAAAAATGCAAGGAGAAGGAGGACTAATCCACAGTAATGGTCGATATTATGCTACCGGTGATAAAAATACTGACAAAATGCTTGAACTCATTCGAAATACGAAAACTAAAAAGAATCAACACCGTAAAAGGAGTCTGAATATAAGTACGTTTTCTCTTCGCACCCTCTCTTCATTCATGGTGTGAGGTTATGAAAAGTTCAATTTAACAGCATCAAGCAACCAAAATAGTTCCATTTGACATTTGAAATGTACACATTCTTTTTATCAGTCTTTTGTATATTGTAAATTGACAGTGACCGTGATTAGTTTCTAGCAGAGATCAATTTTTTTTTTCTGTTTCGCTGTTGTGAGCAAATTTTTTCCCCATTTTCAGAACATGAATTGGTTTTGTTTTTGTCAAAATAATAGCTTTTGTAAATGAAAACTGAACTGGCTAAAGACATGAAGTCTGTTGCTGAACAACTAATAGCAATGTCTATTTCTTGCTTTTCTAAAGTTAGTCAGTGTGATTTCAGGAAAAACACTATCGATATATACTAGTGCATCGAAAGGCTTAACGTCCGCTGAACGATCATCATTGGTTAATGCTACGAAACTTATCGAAAATATATTTAAAGCGTTTATGAAAATTAATCTCTAATAGTTAAGCTTCCTAATAATTTTATTATCTATATTTCAGCAAGGAGCTAGTCGTGTTCATTCTTTGGAAAATACACATGGTTACCAATATAAACTTGAAGGGACTAACTTTTCAGTTTACAATCGATCAATAAATAGTTCTTTCATGAGCACTAGTGTATTCTCTCAAAATGTTCCCAATAATTTGGGAACTCTACCAGATTTTAACTTGCCATCTTCTATCTATCATAGAGAATTGTTATCTAACTCACATAGTTCCTTTCAAAATTCGAGCAACCGTGCAGGTAAATGTATTCGGATTAATATTCTGTCGAATTAGTTTTTCTATTTTGTTTCAATAGTATCCGCTAACAGGTCATTACGCATTTAAAATGCTGTATTATGAAAATTTCTATCATTTTCCCAAGAAATTTAACTTTCCTTTTGGATTACGCTTATGTTGACCATGCAAAAAGATTTTATTTTTCATTTTTTTTTAATAATTATATTAGTGACAGTTTCAGAAATCTGTAAAGACGGGCGTACAAATCAGTTAGTGAACAAAAATGGTGGGAATAAATATATAAAGGTTTTTGTTTATTAGCATTCTTTATTTGTTTTTCATTGCGTTATTTTTGTAAACTATATATGTAGTTGGCAACGAATTGTAAGCCGGTGTTGTGCAACAACGAGGGGACTATTGCGGACAACTAATTAGGAACTGCTGCTCATTTTAAAGTTTCGAATGAGCGGGCATGTTGAGCCTGGTATTTAGACCAACAGCAAGCAGAAATCATTTTTGTTTTGACAATATCATACTCCTTGCAGTCGATGAGAATATGATGAAATTTATGATCGGAAAAGTTCTATAGGGTAGTATGTGATTAGAAGTGAATGCAGGAAAGTCAGCTACTAATACTGAAACATGCGTTGATTAAGCGGTGCTTTTGGAACGATCCCAAGGGTAAAAATATCACGCAAAATATAAATACCGTGAACTGCTTCGAGAATACTATGATCAATGATTTTGGCGAAAATTGAGCGGTGAGCTAAAACTGCACTGATTGGCTAATGCTATGAAGGCAGTAAATAGCAAGCTATAAGTTCATCAAACTATTATATTGGAGTGCTCGAACTGGAACCAGAGGTTTTTAGAGCTGTAGATCATGGTATTATATAATTTAAATAAGTGTGGAATTCATAGTTAACGTACTTGTTTATAGAGACGAGCTATGTCGTGGGCTTCATAGCGTTGAGCAATCGTAAGTTTAATATTCTCGTGCACGAAAAGACTCATCACACTTACTTAGCAATGATTGAACTCTATCTAAAGACTAGACACAATTACATAGAAAATTGGACTGTTGAAAAGGTATCAGCAACTCAAAAAGTGCTCTTATATAGTTAGATAGAAAGGAAAGTCTATCATACAAAGCTATAAGATGTGGAGGAATAATAAGCTATGTTCAGTGGCTAATTCATCAATGTGGCTATGATTTGGAAAAATAACTGCACAAGATGAAGCGTGATGCCTATCAGTTTAAGACATTTTTTTTGTTTTAAGGCACTTTTTCGCACGGCTGCACGATAGAAATATGCTTGGAGCTGAAAAAAGTATGTTCCCAAATTCGTAAAGACAGTGGACTGCTCGGCAACGCAGTGCGAAAAAATGATCTATCATCGTTATGCTGCTGCGATGTATGCACTTCTGGTTCAGCAAGAACTATAATATGAAGCATTCTCACGCATTCAAAACCACTCCATTTAGGAGATAGTCGCGAATGAGAATATGAAGATGAGAATCGATACGCAATAATAGCGATTAAAATGAGATTGATCGGATATCCTGGTGCACGTCAAGAAGCGATATAAAATAACTTAATTGAGTCAGGACAGATTGACAATAGTTGGGACCGAGAAATAAAGAGAGTATGGTTTATTGGCCAATAAACTAGAGGCAGAAATGAAATGCAGAACGGAAATAATGCCGCATATGACGACATGGAGATAATAACTATCATGAACTTCAATATCTCTAGTATACGTTTACTTTTTTTAGCAGGGTGAAACAAACTTAAGTGCCTGCAAAAAGATACCTTTTTAATCTGAATAAAAACATTCATGACTGTACTTTCATTGTATTTCCTTAAATAAATGCTTTATTAATTTTAGAGCATAAGGCGATTAGTAAATCTTATAAACCAAAATGGTGGTCAAATATCTTTTTCTCAGTTGAAAAGGGATTATATGAAGCGATTTCAAATTTCGTTGGATAATAATGAGGTTTGTCTACTTTTTACAGCTCGTGTCTCGAAAATTCTGAAACATTAGGAATATGTAATAGGACTTCATAAAATCATTTTCTGGTATTCTATTTTTTTTTATTTTTTTTTAGTTACGTTGTTTATTTGACGCACCATTAAACGAAGTGCAGGATCTCTACACGTTTCTTGCATCTCGTTTGGATACTTATGTCTTTGTGAGTCAAGAATCGAATGGAGACTTATTATTATCAGTTATTGACGATGAAGATTATGAAGATTATAACAGCATTGATGGTAATATTTTTAAACGTAAACATATAATTTTAGAGTGCGATGTTTATTTGCAATTTCATAGAGTTGAAAATGCAATAAAATATAGTTTTTTCTGAATTTAAGTCGGTCGTCTTTTCTTTGTGGGTTGCTTCTTTGGAAAGTTTAGATCAACATTTTCGTTATCCTTAATAAATTATATGAATAATTTATGAAAGAATAAACAGATTATTTTTTATAGTTCAAGTTATAAGTTCTTTTGGAAGTTTTATTTACTCTCTATTAATTGTATGTTTTTTACAGAGTTCGAAAACTTGGGTATTGTCAGTAGTTCTACTCGAACTTCATTACATCGGGTATAAAAATTATACCATAATCAGCAACTTCTATGTTTTTTTTGTCCCATAAATGATTACAAGCAAAATTTATGATTTAGTTAGCTCCAAAGTTTTGAATTACTTTCCTGAATAAATATTGTAGCAGAAATGAATTTCCTTTTATATACTTTTTTCTTTACATAAGTTTTGTCTTGTTGTGTGGGTCATTGGTTGCGTTGTAATTATCCTTTAATGATTGTTACTGTTTACCATTTTGTAGTTAGCTGAAGATCGAAATCGTCGTGCTCGACATGGGGAACAATTTCAAAATCGCACTAATTCTTATAATCAAGCATCAGCAAAAATGGAGTTTAACAGCAAAAACTTCTCTTTACCAATTCCATTTCCATATGTTTGTGCTTCTATAAAATTGGAATTTTCTGAAATGCAAAAGTCATCCACACTTTAATGACATTGCCATTAATAGGAATACTTTTGAGGGGACTGTAGCTTATAGTTCTTGAAGCATAATGTAATGTCATGGCGTTTAATAATTTTCCACAGCAGAATGACTTTTTTAATTATTTCATTTTGAATAGCATTGAGGTTGCTTCCGTTATTGTATGATTTAAAATATTTTTTTGCAGAACATCAACAGTGAAAGAAATGGGAGAGATGTAGTGGCTCCAGTAAGAGCACGTGAGGATCTGTTGTCTTATAAAGTTTTAGGCGAAAAAGTTCTCTCTTTTGTCCGCACAAAAGGACCTATAAAAGTATATTTTGCTAATGTAGTCACGAGTGTGAATATTAAAACGCAATCCTGGACTTCATTGAAAACAAATGATTTCTTATAATTGAAAGAATGTCGATAGTTCTTCAGTTTCTTTGTTGCGTTTTTTTTTCAAACCTTAAATTCATATCTTGTAGATTTTATACTTCAGGTCTTAGATTTATCTCGCATTTTTTATGAAGAAGATGGTCGACAAATTGATCCTAGAACCTACCCAGAAGGTACATGGGAATTTATCATACAAAAAGTGCTTTCTTCTGACAGATTTCCAGAGCTCGTGCTACAGGATGATGTTAGTTGACTTCATTCACGTGAGAATATGTTAAAAGTAAGAATCACATTTCAAATAGGTTAGAATTTACAACTTGCTGTGGTGTTTGTTTATTTTCTATGGTTTTTTTGTATTTTCATAATTTTTCGAACTGAATTTATTATTTCGAGATTTTTAGACGGTTGATCTTCGAGAACGAGTCCAGAAATCAAAGGATATGTCTCTTCTTTTGTTGAATAAGCAGTCATATAGTCTTCCGACTAAGCCACCCTCGTCTACGACCTTTGAAAGCAGTGTACATGCTGCTATGGTATATTTTCATTACTTCATTGTGAGCTCATCAGTTTTGAACTGCTTCGAAGTATTGATTTGTCCTTCTTGTGCAGATTTACGATATGGTAGCACAATCAAATGGTTCTTTATCGCAGAAAGAAATAATTACTGCTCTTAATGCGAAAGGCATCGAAGTTAACGCTTGCCAGCTTACAGTGAAACTTCTAACACAGTTTAAAGATGTATTTTCATGTGAATTTCTTAAATCAGGTATTGTTATTTCTGTATTAAATTAATATTCAGTTGAAGTTTGTTGTTTGAAAAATGTTGGCATACCATAGACATGCATGGAAAATGAATTCTAACAAACCTTAGATATTCTTTTTTTGAAGCGAATATGAATATGGAGAGACAACAAACAAAATTTATTATTTTTCAGATAAACACATTCAAAGTTTGCCATTTAGGTGTTTTGATATCACTGGTGGACGGTGCACAAAGACCGCAAGAAACGAATTCATCTTCTGTACTGGATAAGCCATCTACAATAATGAAACATGTACCAGAATACTGCCCAAAAACGGTTTCCTCTGAAAATCAGCCTCAATCTGTATATTTTATATGCGCTAATTTTTTTATAATTTTTTGTCTGATAATATTTCTCCATGTACTTGAACTTTGGGTTTGAAATTAGTAAGGTTGCAAGTTATTATGAATCTGTTCAAAATGGTGGTTCAGGTAATATTGTTCAATGTAGAAGTAATCAATGAGTCGATGGGCAGGATGCGAATCCAGGCATCATTTCGTTTGGACTCTTTTGAGCCAGTGTATGCTTCGTTCGAAAGAAATTTATAGTAAGTAAAATACATGCATTGTACATTTGTGTTTAAGGAATTTTTTTTTCATTCATTTAATTAGGAATGAAAAGTTTTTGGTTTTTATTGCTCATTTAAACAAAGATTCTAGTAAACATGTACATTTTGATTCCTCATTAAAGTAATGTGGACTTTTTGAATTTTGTCATGTTTTCCAGTAATCACTATCGATTGAACGGTCAACATAGGAACTATAAGGTAGAAGAAGCTATAAGAGGCTGCTGCTACGTTTTTTACAGTGCCAATAATAATCGTGTATGTCGAGTTCAGTGTCTGAGTGACGGAAAATGTGGTTCAGTTGTGCCAGTTTTTTTAGTTGATAATGTGTGTTATGAAAACGTTGCAGTCGACCAACTTAGAAAGGTTTGTAGTGATTTTTCGATTCCAAAGTATTTTGTAACTTTACTCGAAAGTCGTTTTACTGTGGATTTTCTAGTTTGCCTCTACTGATTGTTCTAATAATTTCATGATTTTTGGTAGTATTAATTTTAGCAAGACCACAACTGTATCATATTCAGCATATTGCAAGTCTTTCATAGTTGTAATTTTAAGTTTTCTGTTACTTCAGGCCGCATTTATTTTCCTGGTAGTTAACTTCAAAATTTTCAGCTGGTCAGTAAATTTGCTGAACCCGCATTTGGTATCGTCGCTCAGACAGTACCTTTTATAGTTTTAAAAGGAAAAGAGGTAAGCTTTTGTTTTTATATGTTGTAGGTAAAATCTTTAAAATACCAATTTATTTTTATGATGATGATTATTATTACTATCATCATTGATGTTATTATTATTTTTATAATTATTATGACTATTACCATTATTGCTGTTCATGTAGTTTAGAATGAATTTCGTGAAAATTTTTCGTCAATTCGTTCAATGCTGCTCGGGCAAAAGAAAGGGCAGATAAAAGTTTATGTAGAATCCGGCGTAAGTTTTTTGGTTATTTGTATCATAAATTGATAAAAGAATGTATTTTGCAGTTTATTCAGTCATAATTTCTGAATTTTATTTATTCAGTTTTTTGATCCGTTTTTTGAGTGAAATCATTTTCTTTATAAAGCATTTCTTGAATCGTATTTCATTTCTTTGATTTCGCATCCATTTTAGCAATCAAAAGGTCAGTTTGAATTAAAGCAAATGTATAGCGAAACGCATGCTGATTTAAACATACCAGCAAAATTTGTGCGTCAAAATATCATTGCATTGCTTTCATAACATCATATAGAAATCTGAAGTGGCAATTCTCTAGTCGATAGACTCAGTCAACCATCGTGTTTCTTTGTATTTTTGTGAATCATTATGAAGCATTTTGTATTTCCCGTTCAAAGTAAAAATAAAAAAAGATTGTTATTTATGTCGACTTGGATTTGGAGGATTTATTTTTTTGTAATAAATGATAAAAAATAACAAGCAGAGATGAGAATATGAAAAACATTCTCATGTCTGCTGTAAATACTACGATGTTTTGATTGACGTTTTATCATTTAGTAATTTGTAAATATATTGGATGACGATTATTATCATATTTAATAGGTATTTGATTGTAATGCCTGAAATTGAGTCGTGATGTAACTGATTGAACTAAGTTTTATTTTATTGGAAAGGTCTATTAGTGATATTTGTTTTGTGAAATAAAGTATCACTAATAGACTAGTTTAATTTTGAGATGTAAGATTTATGTTTAATTTCCTTGTTTTTCTGAAGGAAAAGTTGTTTAAATGAAGAATATGACAGCTCTGACACGTCAGTACTTTACACTTTGTAAGCGGGGGGAAATTACCAAATTAATTCTTTCACTTTCGTGAGGTGTGTTTTCGTTGAAAGCTCCTTAAACTTCATTCGCCATAACTGAATTGACTAATTAGGACCAAGTATTATTGTCTTGTTCAAATGAGACCACTCAATACGTGTGAAACCAAATTTTTGGGTAGTTGTGAAGTACTAGTTCACTTTATAGGATTTGTTCTGAAACTGCATTAATTTGGTCCTTTTTGGATGGTGGAATAAGCAGTCTTTCGATCCATCTTTTATTGAGTAGTGATCAAATAATATTACTTACTGAGTGTTATGACGCTTGCACTTCCAATTAACTAACTACTGTTAAAGTTGAAGAAAAATAAAAAGGAGTTAATGTTCTCTACATGTGTTCTGGACTACCTTTGTGAGAGAATTAAGGGATTCAATATGTTCCTTTGAGTATCACTGCATATTGCGAGCATCAGTAACAGTACTAATTCAAAGTTCAGCATGAGGTGAGGGATTGAAATTGTACAGTTATTTGAAAGATATCTTAAACAGTATGAGTGGTACATACATAGCTTCCGTGGCGCAATCGGTTAGCGCGTTCGGCTGTTAACCGAAAGGT